TAACTCTATAGGATTTCTTTTTCTTTAATTTTTATGCGTGGAATTGAAAGATGATAAATGACAAATTACTTTCATTAACAATGATTTATTATTATCAGGAGGCTGTTTTGTGAAGATTTTAGTAATTTTATAGTTGGATTCATGAGCCAATTAAGGTTAGACTACCATGGAAAACCTGAAAGAACTGGACAGACGTTGCATCCGAGTATGGGACTTCTCATAGGAATGCATCCATGATCCTGCCCTGCGGGATTCGAACCCAGAACCTATCGGTCTAGTGTGCGAACGCCTAACCTCTAAACCAATGGGCCGACACTAAACGGGATCGTGGACGCGCACTGCTAACGAGTCCTACAGTAGGACGAAACGACTGTTCAGTACTTCCAGGTTTTTCATGGTAATCTAGCTCCAATAGACTCAAAAATTCAATTATAAAATTATTTATTAATTAGTAGTCTATTGAATTCTCAGTTAAACTGGGAACATAGACTAGCATCAAAAGAGAAAAAAAGTATACCTATTTTTTTTTACAAACTTTTCGATATAATTCGTTAGAAACTATGCATTTAATCATTAGGAATCTATGAAATACAAATCGAATACATCAGTTATCATTATATTAGTATATCAATAAATTAACTGGTTTCATACAATTAAATCTCTTGATCAATAATTAAAAATTATATTACTTTATTACGTCGGTTACACCTCGTGGAAGAGTATAGACCGCCTACCAACCATTCTCCATCTAAAAATGCCATGGACAATCCTTTCCAGTTGTTTCCTGTTGCTATTCATTCTTTTTATTTCTACTTCTAATTTTTGACCTAATGTATTCCTTAGTATTCCTTTTTTCCGTTTCCCTTCAAAATTCCATGTTAGCGCTTGCATCGCGATGAAGTTTGATGACTTCCATAATGTACGTCCTATCCACATATCCACCTTCAACGTCTTTTCGTAATTTCCTCTTTAGATGGAAGTTGATTTGTTCTCTCCTACAATAGGTTGCTGCTGATGATATCCGATCAACGGGAAGTAAATGTCTTGAGTAGGCAATTGTTAATAAATACTTATACCACTTTGATGATGGCTGTAGTAGTTCTCCATACGAATCATATACCCTATTTTATTTCAAGGCTTCTTATCTTAGCTGGAAATAGTTTGAAATTACAAGAAGTAATTATAAACAATGATTGAATATGCTTTAGTCGATGAAGTATTATCGAATGTTCGAAATAATATTGTAGATTATAACAAGAAGAATAAACCACAAAATAAGCGATTAAATAGGATTGATAAATATTTACGTATACCGGGAAAAAGTATAGTAGTAGAAATGAGTGGTGGCTAGTTATGGAGCCCAGGATGAGGGTTTCGTCCAATTTGGGACTCTTCGGCTGGATGTGCCTGCATATCAGAGTTGATGTTGTAGACAGAAGAGAGAGTAAAGTAGTGGTGTTATAGTTACTAAGTAATAAAATAGAAATTAGATTACGTAGAAGTAAAGAAATTAATAAACAGTAGCATAATAATTATTCAACATAATTATAAATCAAGTCCAGTTAATGTACAAACTGTAATAAAATTATGTAAAAGAAAGAAAACTAAAAAAAGTTATTTGATTGACATTCATTCACTATAGCTTGACCGCTAATTGACGTTTATGCAGGCGAAGTTGAAGAGGGCGTCAATTTTGTCCGATGTAGTGTTTTTGACAATTGTAACAGTTTATTTTTTAGATGATGGTCGGTTTTCCCTTGTTTTTTATTTTGTATTTTGGTGTGCATCGGATTAACAGAAGTGGTTTTGCTGTTTTGTGTGCTACACCTATTCCAAACGGCTTTAATGATCTCTTTGTAATTTCTGATATCTTTTATACTTTCTCTAGTTCCAAGTTTCCTCATGGTTTTTGTTCTTGTGAGGTCAGTTGGGTGTTTTATTTCTTCCGTCGAGTTGGCGGTACTATGGCTTGTCTTATTTCATGTTGAGTTTCTTCATTTATTCCGGGATTGTTGAGTGATGACTCTAATACACTGAAGAATCCTAGTTTTGAAGCATCACTTGTGTTGTAATTCAACTCCGTTCGAAGGAAGTATTCTTTTATGTTCATCGCTCAGTCGATCATGTTTTCTTCTGTGGGCGGTTTTAAAACCTTGATTAATTCTTCCTTGAGGGTCTTTCTTTTTTGTGCTCTGTGTCGTCTACTTGATACCTCGAATGCTGCTGTCAGGACTGTTTAACATTCTCATGTGAGTATCTTCTTCAGCTTCCTCTTTTGTTCATCCATGATCATGATACACCTAATTATAACGGATGCACACTACAGGATCCACAAACATCAATACATAAAGAAACTTAGCAGGAAATAAGTCAAACCATAGTACCACGAGCTAGACTGAAGGAAGACATACTGTGTTATATGTAGAGAAATTCAAACACTTCACTTCCACCTGAAGTTTATGCTGATAATGTTGTTTAAAAGAACAATGAAAGCTCCACGACCAAACTATCTATCTCTGAAAACGAATGTCCACTTAAAACCGGTAACTTTGTATGCCTGGTGAAAGTTTGTTGTTTATTTACGTCCAGTAACAATGAAATTATGTGTTGATGGGTCATATTGTGCCACATCGGTGTGAATTTATTAGTTTCCTAGCTCTTGCGGAGTATATAACATTGGCTGCACAAAGCGAGAGCTTTCGAAATGTATCTACAAACATCATCCTGTATGGCTTATTATAGGTGGATGTAAATCATTCAGTAGTTCAGTATTAAAACATATGATGACATGGCTCCACCTTGTATATCTTTCGAAATCATCTATATATTCCGACGGCTTGATTATTCAGGAACGTAAATCAATAACTTATGCATTGGTGAAACGTTCGTAATTCACCATTTCATGCCTGAACTCTATGTGCGAAAGCAACACATACAAGCAATCATTCTTCCATAGCCCTTGCACATAATTTTCATAAACTGTAACTTGATTGTTGATACATCCTTTTAATGATCTTAACCTTCCTAATTTTTAATTACTTATTATTATGATCACGTTTTTTTATTTAAAAGTTGAACTGATGAGTCAATTAAAGCTAGATCACTACGGAAAACCTCGAACTGGATGGCCGTTCTGTCCTAGTATGTCACCCCTCAACAGGGCTCATCCACGATCCCACTCACGGGATCCGAAACTAAGACCTTCAGTCTTGTGCGCGAACACTTAACCTCTAGACCACTGAGCCGGCATTCAGTGGCGTTAATGTCTAAATTAAACTAATCCACGAAATTGAGCGACACATCCATCATTGTATTCAGTGAGTTATTATCTCACAACAGATCTGTTTGATCTCGACTGGACACATCTCACTAGAACTACAAGAAATACTTCTTGAAGCTCATTACTAATGAGCATTTGATGACTATTATCAGAAAGAGGTTTTGTGGAGATTGTAGTAATTTAATAGTAGTAATTTATTATTTCTATTAAACAACTATGTACATTTAAATTGAAAGTAAACAGTATCTTTAGTTCATATGACTAGTTATTTACAAATTTACATTATCAATATTCATTTAATTTTTCTATACAATATAAAGACGTGCATAATTAATTAGTTTTTTGAGGCCTAAATGTATTTAAACTAGATAAAGTTAGGGATTTTGTAGTAAATCAACACTAAATAGATATTTCTAAATAATTAAATAAGACCAAACCTGTGGCACAGAATATGTCCCTTAAATCATGAAATAATATTATCTTGGAATGTTATAGTCAATAATTATGAGAATGTATTTGTTAACCTGAAGCCTGGTTTTAAGTAATAATATGGTATTATCACTGCCTACTACTGGTGAGTTCCAGTTCACGACAAAATGCATATCTAGTACTCCTTCGTTATTAATAGTTATATAGCTGATGTAACTTCATTATGAAGATCAACTACAAATAGTTCGAATATTGGTCGAGTTTCATAATATGACTCACTGAAATGAATTTTCTATCAAGATAAGAGGATCATACTAACTGAAACTAATATCAAACATTTATAAGCCTTCTATGTCAATAAAGACTACTGATCCAATGCTTCAAAGTGATATTATGTAATATAGAATATTTTCTGTCACTGTACATAATCGGTAAACACTGATCAAAATGTACTTTTCAAATGGTGAATTTTCAAATATTTTTCAGTTTAGACAGCTTCATGATAAAAGCTTTTTCAATAGCATACTAATATCACTAAAGTAATCACTTGGTATTGTTTTACTTGAATTTTCCCATTGATATTTAAGACTGTAATTGATCAGTCTGTTATTGTCATATGTGCATACTATGCCGATTGCCTCAATATTACCTTAATTCGCAGGCATTATAAGCAAAGATACTGGGTTCAAGTCCCAGAGTGAACATCAACTCTGAGATGCCAGTAGATTTAGCTGACGATTTCCAAATAGCACGAAACTCGCGTCCTGGATTCCACTGCTAGTCACTATCCATCTTTGCTCAAAATGTAATCACTGTTTACAAGATTTGTTCTACAGTTTCAATTTAATAACTGATCCACATCCGAAACCCTTAAAACAGAAGATGAAATTCATTTAAAAATTTGTAATCACTATGGAAAAATATCTAATAGATAAAGAGGTATGAATTACATTACAGTTAATAAAAAAAAACATAGTACATAATCTAAACTACTGAGTATTTTAAAAGTACTATAACATAATATACAAGAAGCAAACAGGAAAAAAAGGAAGTTAAGAAATGCAAACCACATTTAAAATCTTTAATTCTATTTTTAACTGCTTGAAAATATCACATTAGTGCAACAAAAGTTCGTTTGTTACATTTTATCATTTAGTACAATCACTGTAAAAATATATCCTGTTGACATAAACATTTTAATCCGTGTAGAGTTATGAGTTAGTTCATATAAACATATAACAAATTATAATTATTATCATTTGTTTGGTCATATATTAAAACCAATGGTTAATTACATAATACTACACCTCTTTGCACATCTTCGTTGACTTTTCTTCTCTGTCCGAGTTATATATTCTAGAAGGTTCAGAAAATATAATATAATATGATACATTAAATGGAAAAGATAACAAAAACTAATTATACTTTATTTAATCACCAAGAATATATATTGTTTCCTAAAGCTTTTTGTCAATGAAAACTTATCACCTCGTGTCAGATTTTCCTAAATTACTTTAGAGTTACACGTAAACGGAATAATGTTGAGAATGTATCTTGTTAATAATATTAGGTAAACCAATAATAGGACGAAACGGCTGTCCACTGCTTCCTGCTTTATCAGTAGTGGTCTAGATTTATTCGACTCATGAATTCAACTATTAAATTACTACAAATTTTACAAATACTCCATTTTTGATAAAATCAATAAAAATTGGAACTAGTAATCTGTACCAAGTTTATTACTTCCTTCCTAATCTTTTACCCGATCATTACAATCTTTCTCAACCAAGAAGTACATGTGACTAGCTGTGTTTTAAATACCAGAGTAGCAATAAGCATGACTACAACATATGGATGACTTATCATTAATGAAATCAGTTACCACGAAATTATAGATACACTTCGCTGATAAGTCCAAAGTGTTATATCCTAGTGAAGATTAAACTATAGGTAACCTCTAAAAACTATTTACGGACAAATATTAAACATATATTCCTATTGTAACTATTCAGTAACTAGATAATGAATAGCTATTATAGCTTTATTTTGACCTATAGACCATTACTATACGATTTACTGTTCTTAAGTTATGTTCAGTTTATTAATTACAGTCTCATACTTGCAGCCACTTTCTGGCCAGATCTTGTACAAATGTTATTTACTATTTTATGATGCGATGTGGTCCGTTCTGGCTTGTATGTAAGCTCGGTTTGTTTGAAATAAATGATTTGCATAGTTGAAGATGGCATTGGTGTTCTGGACTTAACTGGCGAATCTAGGAGTAGAGAGAACCAATAAGGACTCTAGGCTGCTCATACCGGTCGAACATCATTGGTTTGGCACAGTGCTAAGTTTGTATAAATCGTATTCCGATTGACGAATAAATCAGGTCATAATTAGTCGTGCTAAAAGTCACAACACTAAGTAGCATGAAACCTATCTTTACTATCTCCTATGTGTTACCTAAAATTGATGAATATCAAAGTCAATTGATGCAGTTTGATGTGTAACCTGATTTCAACCTGTTCCATAGAAATCCATCAATTATCTAGTAATGAGCGACGTGATACTGGTTCTAATTAAATGATTAATTATACGATGTCAACTTTAAACAGGAAATAGACTGCGAATAGAAATTATTTGACTTTTAGTTCAGATAAAAAACAGATCACTAAACATTATAACCAGTGCTTTTGATTAATCTACAATACTGTATTTAATAGTTTCAATGGTTAGGATCAACTTAAACTTATTCGACTTATTTTGTTTGATTGATCAAAAGAGACTACCTAGCGTCTTATTATAAATAGGCTATAAACTCTTAGTTTCTCGAGAAAAATATCTTGTTTAATCATTCAATTATACTTAGAATCCCCCTGGTAATATGACGATAAATCTGAACAATAATTCTGTTCTCATTCACTTAGAATAATGTTTATATAGTGTTCCTAATGATTACATTCATTTTGAAAACCTTGTCTCAACCTAATTAATTAAATAGTTGAGTTCATGAGTCAATTAAAACCAGACCATTATGAAAAAGTTGAATGCACTGGACGGCCGTTTCGTCCTAGTATAGGACTCGTCAACATTGCACATCTACTATCTCACTCGCAGGATTAAGACAAAAAATGTACGATTTCATAATAGAACTATATATATATATATATATATATATATATATATATATATATATACTTTATTATTATTATTATCATTATTATGGACTGACTTTCAATAAACTAGTAACTTCTATTAATGGACTTTAAAACATTGAAAGTTTAGTATACCTTCAAACACTTTCACTAACCACTAATTAGACTAGACATATCTCTATATATTGGGTTATCCTCTTTCCAACAGTTCGGTAGTTTTGAATGTTAAGTTCATTCTAGCATATTTAGTGTGTGGTTGGCTGAGGAATCAAGGGCATGGATCTTGTTTTATTTAAAACTTATCAGTTTGATGCATTAACATCTTAATGTTTATGTCAACAAGAAAGTTTGAGCTAAATACCTTTCTCTTTGAATGCTTTTCATAGAACTACTGAGTTTTGGAAGCTAATAACTTGTTCAACTGGTGTCAAGAGAATGAGAAAGACTTCATTGTTGTTAATATTTTGGACAGTAGCCAACCACTTTCCGTTATATTTCAAGCGTTTGAAGTGAAAGGTACTAGATTTAAATTTCATTGTGAATATCAACACAAAGACAAAGACTATTATTACACAATTCAACGTTATTGAGTTATGCTCAGTCTATTAATTACAGTCGCCTTTTGGCTTGATCTTATACAAATGTTATTTTCAATGTTATGATGAAATGCGATCTGTATGGTTTGTTTATAAACCCAGTATGTTTGAAATTAATGATTCATATCACAGAGACTGGGATTGGTGCTCAGCACACAACAAGCAGGGCTAGGAGGAAGAAGGACTGATATAAACACTACACTGCTTGTACAGGTTTATGTGTCATTGATCCGGTCGATAAATCACTGTTCTCTAATTGTCAGTATCATTACGTTATATATTAATATGCCACAAGGCCACAAGTATAACAGTTAGGACACCATTGAAAGCATGAGAGCAGTACATAAACTACGAGGCTATTTTCCATTGTTTTTGTTGGGTAACAACCTCACACCTGACACAAGTGAACTCTACTAATCACGAGAGTTCCTTCTCTAAAGGTGATCACTAATGACAATATGACCATTATCAGTATATGGTTATGGTTAAAGTTAGACATTAACACCATCGTAGTTTAGAGGTTAAGCCTTTTATAAGCAAAACCAAGGGTTTTAAGTTCATATCCCACATGTGGCATTTCAACATTTATCTTTAAATAGGTTTATTAATCTCATATTAATTTATAGAACAATTATAAGAATATACGATAAATGTGATAAATTTATTTAGACTGAGATACCATTTCTTTTTAACTCTGCCTGGAGTCCCTCTAGGGCTACTGACAGTCCCAAGCCCGGATAGAGGAGGAGGGTTGGGCGTGGTGTTAGCAACCCCATCCCGTAGAAAACTAACTCGCCAAAAAAACGCTAACCAGAATTTAAAAACACTAACCTTTTCTTTTTAGTCAACGATTTAATTATTATTATTATTACAAAACAGAATGTTGTACAGAATGTTAAACTATAATAAGATTACTTTAAAATTCCGGTCGATATTTTGGTGTAGTAAGATAAGTGTTTGTGTTTTTCAGGAAAAACAAAATGATGAAAAAAAACTGAATTAAATTTGCACACACACACACACAAATACTGATTTACCTTTGTTACTGTTTGGTACAGTTCCATTTGACCTGTTTCGTTTAGAATTATCTATCATTGTAATATGATCTAGTAAATTCATTAGAAAAATTTAATGATAGCAACATCATATGATATTGATAAGTAGATTATTATTATTTTTTTTAATGTTTATCACTAAGACAATTTCAAAAAAAATTTTCTTATTTTTTACTTTTGAACAATATTGATTAAAATGAATATAATACTAATATAAGACTAGACAGTTTATATTCCAAATTATTTAATTAAATTTTAAACAATGTTACCAAATGAATGAATAGTATTAAATGATAAAGAAGATTTACAATGAGAAGCAATGCTCAGTGGAGTTCAACTTGATCTGTTGTGAGATAGTAACTCACTGAAGACAATAGTGGACGATGGCCCAATTTTGTGGAATGGCTGAAGTTAGACATTGACATCGTAAAAAAGGTTAAACGTCCGTGTACGAGACTGATAGATCCTGGGGTGGAATCTCACGTAGCGGGATCGTGGATACGCTCTGGTGAGGAGTTTCATACTAGGACGAAACGACCATCCAGTGATTCGAGGTTTTCCATGGTTGTCTAGCTTTAATTAACTCAAGAATTGATTTGACCCATGATTGATTTGCGGAGATTTCTTTATCGTTCTAAATAACATTATCAATGCCTAATTGATGTAAAAATGAGTTCAGTTATTCTATTAATAATAGGTTAGTTTATTCTGGTAACCTTTTTTGTAATTCGTTATCATAGTTGTCGTTTGTTTGTGTGTTTATATTGACTGTTCCGTTCCACTAACCACTCATCATTTTTTTTGTTTGAAACGTACTCTGATAACGAATTACTAGTCATAGAATAACTGAACTCATTTCCACATCAAGTAAGCATTGATAATGTTATTCAGAACGATAAATAAATCTCCACAAAGCAATCATCCAGATAACAGAATTCAATAACTCTGAAAGAATAAATACTATACATTTGGTTTCCACAGTAATTCTGAGCAAAGCCAAAAAATAATATTTTCAAATTATCAACTATTATTAATTATCAGCTGAAAACGACGTATAGTTTTCAAATCATCGAATGCTTAGAAACCATGATTAATGAAGTTGTCTTTCAAGTTACAAATGTTATTTACTCTTAGCTTCCTTGAACAATGCTGGAATTCTAAGTTCATCAAATGCAATATAAAATGATTTAGTAATTATTGTAAAGTCTTATAGAAAAAGACAGACATCCAGACAAATTTATTATGTACTACTAAAGGAATAATTTTTAAAATTAAGAAATTTCAAATGTCGACAGTCATCATGTATGTCTTTTCATCTTGAATTCTTGAAGATTGAGAAATCCAAGAGGAATGAATGATTTAAAGAATAAGAATCACTTTTATACGAATTGTTCTACAACATTACTTCTTTAGTCACATAATATTAAGCAACTGCGAAAGTAATTATTGGTAGATTGATGGTGTTTTGATGTTATTAATTCATTTTACCATGTTACTCTTACTGTTTTTCGTTTTTTATAGGTTGACTAACCTAACAATTATTTCAATGATACAGAACTAGGATTCCTTACTTTTTTACAATCTGTATTAGTTGCTGACTGTAATTCAGAAATAACTAAAATTCAATAAGTAATCGATAGTTGTTTCGTTCCAGTCAGATCTCCTCAGCAGTAAAAGATCATGATTCAGCCAACGATCAAAATCCACTACTCCGAAATCATTTATACTCATACTACACACATGCTTGTTAGTTGACCAGCCTTAACAAAAAGCAATCTAAGCGTTCTAATAAAGAGTAGTGACTAATGGTCTGAAAAATGAACCATGGATATCACTATAGGCTGGTCACATAATATCCCTAATTGAATGAAGTAAAAATATTAACTGTTGAATATTACTTCAGTTACCTAATTGTTAGCAGCTTTCCACAGAACCTAAAGGCTCTAAGTGTGACCCTTGATGAGGAAATGGTAGCGCATTATTGAGCAACATGAAATAACTGGTTAATGCTTTTCAATACAAAATATATATTAAATGGATTTTTAAAAAATACTCACCCAGAGATTTACTTAAACCATTGTTGTCTCTTCTATCGGTCTCTCGAACAATAACTATTTCATCTGAAAACGTTCAAATGAAAAATATGATCAATATAGTTTCCATAACGGACTGAGTATATATTATGTCAACTGTTTAATGTAACAGAATAACTGAAAGATTATTTCAGCTATATAAAAGATAATTTAACAATACCTTCTTTTTGCGGATTGTATCTATAATCATCAGCATTCATAGCAACCCCTTTACTGATAAACCACAGATTGGACATTATTATTATTATTTCATATGATTTTGAATTTATCAGTTTTTATAATGAATAAAATTTACAAATTAACCTATTAGTGATCTAAATGCATTTGTTTACAAGTTAAATTATACAACTGGGTCAATCAAAATAAACTACAGTGAACTAATGAATCGATTCAAGCAATGACATATATTCTGTAAGTCTAAAAGTTGAATTAAGGAACCAGTTAAAGTTCATCAAACTACTGTGAAATTAAGACAACATAGTAAATTAATCCTTAAATAATTTCTTATTATATGTTTTACATAAGTATATACATTTGATATTGGAATATTAAAAATCCATAGCAATTTGATCGAGGGGGAGTTAATTAAAATCAAAGTTGAAGAAGTTTAAGGAGTTTGATTTAATTTGTAAATTATATTTCTTGTAAATAGATATTAATTAGGTGTGATTTTAAAAGTAAGAAGGAACTGATTTATTCTAAAGTTAGAACTCTACATCAGTGCACAACTTCAACCACACCAGAGATCGAACTCAGGATATTCAAATCTTTCGATAAAGTCTTAATCAGTAGAATTACTGAATTAGCCTCTAAAGGTAAAATTTCAACTTAATTTAATTCCTAACTTAATGTTTATCCACTGCCATTGATGACGTCTGTTCCATTCTAGACATATCTGGAATGCTTTAGTGCCGATTTCTCACTGATTTTCAATTATACTTCAATTATCAGAAGGGGTTTTTGGAGATTTTTGGAAATTCCAATGGTTGAGATCATGAGTCAATTGAAGTTAAATCACCATGAAAAACCTCGAAGCATTGGAAGGCCGTTTCATCATAGTATGGGACTCCTCAGCAGTACACATTCAAGATCCCGCCTCCCGCGAGATTCGAACCTTTGACCTACCAGTCTTGCACGCGAACGTTAACCTCTAGACCACTGAGCCGGCCGGCATCCAACGTTATTAATATCAAACTTTAGACATAAACTTTTTATGTACATGAAAGTGAGGCGTGTGCTACTTATATTGACATAAGTAGTATATGACGTTAGTCAGGAACAGAATGTCTGGTAGCAGAGAGACAAGAGGATCGAACAGTAATGAATGGAAACAGAATACAATTTGTATGAAAATACAAGAACAATGAAGTCTTGGTCATTTTGAGACAATGTATGGTTATTTTGTAAATAGAGCATTTACTATATGATTGTTAGATTTTATTAACAAGTCCTGTAACTTGTTATCAAATACATTAGAATGTTCTTTGTAGATGGATGATTGGGAAATTTTGGCATAAATAATTGATATCCAAAACTTATAAAAGTGCTCAAAATTTCCATGATTTTAGATATACAACATTTCGGCAAATTTCTAGTAAAGGCAATTAATCGTTACAATATATACCCCAATGAGTTAAATTTGAAATTATTAGGATTATCCTGTTGTTGATATTTTTTTCACTGAAATTTGATTACTCTCATTTGTATATTTGCCTAGATATAGACATTATGACACAAGTTTATGTAGAATGAATAGAATGTATCAAACATTGAAATACAGGATTCATATTTTGTCTTATTTGGTAATTGTCAGCTGGGTACCAGGTATATTCAGCTGTCGAATCTCAAATAGAATAAAATATGCATCCTATGTTCCATTGCTAGATACTTTCCGACTTTTCTATGTACTTCAATCATTCTATTCAAGGTATATAAACTTTAATTATTCTAAAAATAGAAAATGAACGTCTATCATTATTTAGATAGGCGATATTCGTCCAACTCATCATGATTGATGACCGGTGTATACATTAAATATTAAATGTATATTATGGTCACAGTAGTGCAAATCTAAACGATGTAATTGACAACAAATATTTTAAAATTTACTATAACATCTAATCAGTCAATATCTATGGCTAAAGACTTGGTGATCTAATCGTGGGTCATTTACATTACTGAAACTTGTCCACATGGGAATTGAATAGTTACCATTATTAGCAGATAGCAGCACATTAAAATTTATCAATCAAAGAATGTTATGGAGTTGCCATATTAAACTGTACAACTTCAATCATTGACAGATATAAACAAACGTTGGATAGATTATAAACGAATAATAATAATCATTTTATTCTATACTATACATTTAATACAATACAAACTTTTCAACATACATCTCAACCAATATTTCCCAAAATTTTTAGTCATTACAAAGTCAATACACATAAGTTTTGAACAAGGCAAGAACGAATATTTAATCGGAAAGTCATGAATTTATTCTATTTTAAAAGGTGAATTCACGAATCGATCTAAGCAAGACTACCAATGAAAACGTAGATCACTGGATGGCCGTTCCATCCTGGTATGGGACAACTCAGCAGCGGGCATTCACGACCACACTTACAAGATTCGGACCTAGGACCTTCAGTCTTGCACACAAATGCTTAACATCGAGACTACTGGACTGGCATCCAATGGTGTTAATGTTTGAATTCAATCGATTCATGATCACACGTCAGTATAGTATAGTTGGAGTGTAAATAAACTTAATAGTTCAAATAGAATATTGTAAATATACATCCAACGTGAAAGAACGCCTACGAGAGATGGCTTAAGGAAATGTCAAAAGACTGGAACATAACTGAGTATTAATCCCCTTAAAATATTTTAAGATCTCGACCTGATGTCCTGTGTTCATGCGATGACTAGTAAATGCATCAAATTATACTGATGAATGATTATAGTAACATTCAACAAAACACTTTCAGGCAAACAATCTCAAATCTTGTAGGGTGATGACTGGAGCTAGTGGACAGTAAACCTTAATCATAGCTTTCGTGTTGTTTGACACTCGTCAGTAAGGTGTGCCTGTCAAGCTTGGTTACATGGTATAGAATCAGTTTGAGAGCATGAGAACCCTAAAGATTGCAAATACGCTTTTCTGACAAGTGCCAAAAGGACTGAAACCTAGATCCAGAGTCTTGTCTATATATATATATATATATATATATATATATATATATATATATATATATATATATATATATATATATATATATATATATATATATAAAAAATAAGTCGATGAAATTGTGTAAAACGAAATGAAATTTCTATTAAACAAAAACATCTTTAAAACAATTAATAAATTAGGTGTTCGAGTGGATAGAATTCTGAGTAGAACAACTTTTACAAAATTTCCTCAGTATTGTTTATATGTTAGGTACGATATTGTAAAGTATTTGGAAATATTTTCGTTTCTTTGACTTCTATTGTACTTGTGTTTCGTTTCGTTCGACGATATATCAAGTGACAGAAGTGAGTGGAATAGATAGTTTGTATTTTATAAAATAACACACTCCAGTTGTTTACGAAATTTCAGATGTATATCCAACACCATATTCATGATAGTTTTGAAAAATTCACTCAACGAATACACTTTATTGTTTTATGCAACACAGTATAATCTCTTCACAATAGTTCAAGAAGAAATAATAGGGAACAGTAATACTTGATACTTATCGTAAACATTAAGAAATAAGTCTATCTCGAGTTGCATATTTTACTTAATGATGAATATCAGAGAGTCAAAAATAATCGATTATGTCCGTTTTATTATTTCATCAAATGTCTAACTCAATATGAACGACCTTTCATAATCACTGTAATAACTTGTATTTATCTTTATATACTACTCATATAGATGAGTAGTTAATTCTTTAAACTATAAATATAACAACATCAAAATACTTCATTAATTAGAAGGAAAATAATTATATGGATTAAATGTAGATTTTGACTTTGAAATAATCTGGGATTAAAAATGTTTCTTATTATTAAGGAGTAATCGTTGAAGAATTAATAAAAATCAAATGTAATGGATAAATTTCTATGTCTCATTTCTATAGCACATCTTTTAATTCCATTTCAAGTTGTGGGTCAACACTTATGAAGTGTCTTAAATGACAACTAAATGTCTATTCAATACTCACTAATTTCAAATTATTAACTAGATGCGATTAGGATTTAATGAAAACTATAGTTAAACTACACAAATCTCTTTACGAAACACTCTTGAGTGTTTTTTTATTCTAAAGAATAGATCTTCATATCAGACTAATGAACTTAAGAATGATGATTGAAACTACGACAGTAATAATGGTAATGATAGTATTGAAAGTGATAGTAATTTCTATTATTTAAATCATATATTTACAAGAAAATTTTCAAGTTTTACAAATTCTCGTATCGAAATATTATACTGGTTGGGATAGATTCAAGCTTATTATCATGAATTGCACCGAGGCCCTACAGCACCTCTCCAACAACAATTTGTCGGGTCATTTTACTAATTTATTCAACAGACAGTGTTATTTGAACAGTAACAACTTGTCTATTTCTCTGTATTGTTATTATTACTATCATGTCTGTATAAATATGTATGCTTGATCAAATGTGACAACCTACCCATATATCACTCTCTCTAGTGTAAATGCTAGTCTCTTAAACATTATTGGGTGTATCATTTGCTTTCCCATGAACATATCCATATACTACGTTTATATGATTTTGAGATATACATATATTCAACTCTGTATTCGTTTTCTCGGGCATATTAGCATTTCTTCCCAAATTCACTTGGTGTAATTGTAACTTTGCTATATGTGCTATCTATTAATAAACTATAGTCGGCGGTTTATGTTGCCTTCTGAATTTATACACCGAGAGGCATTTCCTAGAGTTCTAGTGAAAAGGTGTGACCAGTGGAGTTCAATTAGGTCTGTTGTGAGATATCAACTCACGCAAGACAATGGTGACGGTGGCGCAATTGGTTGAAGTTAGACAATAACACCGTTGGATACCGGCTCAGTGATCTAGTGGTTAGGCGCTTGCGCGCGAAACTGTTAGGTCCTGGATCCGAATCTCGCGAGGGATGGGATCGTGGATGCTCACTTCTGAGGAGCACCATACTATGACGAAACGGCCGTCCAGTGCTTCCAAATTTTCCATGGTGGTTTAGCTTCAATTGACTCATGATTTCAACTAATGGAAACTCTATTGGAATTTGTTTGATAACGGCAATTAAACTGATTAATAAATGAATCTTATGGAATTTTTTCGAAGCCAAGTTATACGATTTTGTAATATCACTTATATGAATTTTATATTAATAAGGGTGATTTATACACTTATTCTAAGACCGTTCTTCTTAAATCTTATTTCCTATGATAAAAAGCTTATACAAATGGAAAATTTATAATTTCACGATTAAATTTACCTCGATAGGTTCTTCGTTGACCATTTTGTTCATCATGTTTGTAAGAAAATTCATTGGATTTCTCTGTAATAAATAATGTTAATAAATAAAACTAAAAAATATGTTATTTAAAATTAACCAATTGGATATGTTTTTTAAAATATTAAATATTGAACATTAAAGAAAAATTTTTGGCCAGACTATGATTTATGGACGAACCAATCAGATTTGGGATAACAGGTCTTGGGTTTTGGCGTGAAATTCATTCATACATTTGGCTAAATGAACGTTTGCCATTATAGCTGATGTCAGTTCGTTATTGAAATCCTAAATCTAATTCCTAACCCTAAACATCAACTGGAAATCATAACTCTAATTCCTGATATAGGTTTATTATCCTCGTTTGGTACTAGTTATTAGGTATACACTCTCAAGGTCAGAGTAGAGTCCCTCAAAGGTCGTTCATAAATTATAGTCTCACCATTTCTTTTATATTCATGTACAATTTAAAAGAAAATGAAGTGTTTAATCAATGTTATTTATTTAATAGTTGAATTCATGAGCCAATTGAAGCTAGATTACCATGGGAAAGCTAGAAGCACTGGAGAGATGTTTCGTTCTAGTATGGAACTCTTCGTGAATGCCTACTACTGACGAACTGTATATTAGGACGAACCGACCGTCCAGTGCTTCCAAATTTTCCATGGTAGTCTAGCTGCAATTGATTCATGAATTTAACTATTAAATGACTATAATGTTCACAAAATCCTTCTCTGATTACAATCTGATTTGGTCCAACACTAATTTTAGTTATAAATACGTTTCATTTTGTAAAATTTTAAAATAATGACATTTAATATTTCGATCAGAACAATTTTGCAATACCTTTGAAGTAAGATTTTACATTAAACTTTCAATCATAAACGTTTTTGTTTTGTTTTGTAAACAATGTAACATCAATCAAAACAAAAAATAACTAAATTGTAAACACTTTTTTTCTTGTTTAATCATTTAAAACTTATTTATGAAAACATTTTAAGTGAATACTTTACATTTTTCTGTGTTTGTTAAGAGAGGGGGTGGTGGGGTGGGTATTTATGTACTATGCAGCTGAATCAATTATAATAAAATTACATTACGCTATCAATCTTAAAGGATGCTTGAAGTAACCTTGAAAATGTTTCTTTTTCTTAGTCAATGAATGAAGCATCTTACAGAGAATCGGTAGATAGAAAAGCTAACAAATTGTACGTCTTTTTCTAAATTTTATAACCGCGGTTTTACTTTTATAAATTAATGAATTCTTAGTAGACGGATCTACATAGGAGATTAGTTTCATTTTGACTCATTGCTATAGTAACAAAAATTTGATACTCTATACTTAATTCACTGTTTTTCGTTTATTCAAGACATTTTTATTACGTCCTTATGCCCGATTAATTATATCACGTGATACGACCACCAATTACAGACATCGACTTATACGACCAGACTAATCACTCATAAATCTATACGATCAGCCTAGAATTCTTATTGATCCAGAGAGATAATAGCTTCTTTTCTAACCCAAATGGTTGAGTCCAGAACGCTAATATTAGCTCCCGTGCCACGAATCATATATTTCAGACATACTGTGTTTATATGCAAGCAAACCAGACCTCATCATATTAAAGGCAATCATATTGTAGACAGTTTTAAATTTGTTAGATAATGATCAGTATTATTATTTACACTTTATTATAAAATCTTGAAATTACCAACTTGATCATAATTACTTCAGTAGGGTATTAACTTTTAACTCTCACTTCTCCGGATTAATTTTAGTGTAATTTGTTTATACTTCAATTGATATCCACTAATTTCAGTAGTTGAGGTCATGAGTCAATTGAAGCCAAACCCCCATGGAAAACATGAAAGTACTGAACGGCTGTTTCGTTCTGTTGTGGGACTCCTTAGCAGTGCACATCCATCAGACTGACAGGTCCCGGGTTCAAATCCTGCGAGGCGGGGTCGTGAATGCGCACTGTTTAGGAGTCTCATACTAGGACGAAACGGCTATTTAGTACTTCCAGGTTTTCCATTGTGGTCTAGCTTCAATTGACTCATGATCTCAACTATTGAAATTGCTACAATCTCTACAAAACCCATTCGGATACTAATATTCACTAACTAATCTCATAATTTCTAAGGCTTTTCGAAATTTTATAAGTTTTCCTGTTTTTTTTAAATAACTTGCCTAAAACATTCGATCAAATCCAGGGAAGAATTATTGATTGTTGTCGTATACATGAGTTGAACATACTTATCACAGTTCTTTAACTTTAAAAAGCTTGATTTAATATTCCTAAAAAGGAACACATTTCATTCTTAAAATTATCATGTATTATTTATTATTCATACAACTTCACTTACGAATTGACTGTCTATGGATAGGTCGAGGTACATTTTCTTGAAATTGACCATATACATTCCCAGCTGGTTCATAACGTCCTACTATAAATACATGATGTCCATCATTTGAATGTTGAATGCCAAATCCTGCTTTTGATGTATTCTTCCAAATGACCTGAGTAAAATGACCTGATATTAGTGAAAAGAAGTAAAACAGTAATTATATACATTTCTTTAGTAGAAGTTTAACGAATTTAGTTTATTATTTGTTTTATAGTTTGTTTCATACGGTTAAAAATACTGTAATTTTTTTAAATTTATGGTTGTGAACAGTTAGGTTATTCGTTTTCCTTATTCCCTTAATCTCAACTTGTTGTTCGATTCATAGATAGTTACTATTTTTTATTCTAATTCCATACTAATTTAACTATGAGCGTGATATTCTAATTTCTAGTTTAAATGTCCTAATTTTGGAACATATTGTATTACTTATTTTGTTGTGGGTCATAGTCAGTATATCTATGTATTCAAATATGTAACTTTTGCGTATCCAACGTTGACAGATTACGATTATATAGATTTCGACTAAAGTTATCTTGTTAACTTCCCGTTACCATATAGTAGGTTATTAGTCAAACAATAAGGTAGTTTCTGACACATATTTAGGTACAAGGTTACATCACCAAGAATGTTTGGTAGTTCCGAGAGAACTTCTGTGTATATTTTATAACAGGACACCGGTAGGTAGACTAAAGTCATAGAGCATATGTTTTACTACCCAAATATTACTTCTCAAATGTACTGGTGTAGCTTGAAAAATTATTACATTATTACTTATGAACTTTGCTGAAACTGTTCGGAAATCCATTATATATATATATATATATATATATATATATATATATATATATATATATATCGGACTTTATGGAAATTATACATTAAATACTTCATTTTCAAATCTTCCACCAGTTGTCCTCTATATCCTTCATAATACATCTAACTCTGTGTTCATTTTAATTTCTTTTTGTTTCCCTTTCTGTTCTCTTTAGTTCAATCTTCTCAATCCTTTTTTGACAGGCATTCCACTACCTATTAGTGTTACATACTACTTATATCTGCAAACATAAGTAGCATACACTAATTCATCAATTTTCATGTTTGAGTTTACTATCAGGACCAACTTTCAAGTTATATATGAATATTTCAAATTAACATTTAACCCAGAATAATAGAACTATTTCTACAGTCTTTCAATTTCATGTATGTTCGATAGAAACAAGGTCAATGTATGAAACTAAGAGTAAAAATCCAATTGTGGTGTGTGCTACTAATGTCGACAGTTATAATTAGTCTGTATCGCCAACCGAAATTGAAATGCCTGGCGGCAGAATGTTAAAAAAATCGAAGAAAAAGAAGACGAGAACAGAAAATGATTATTGTGGAAACGAAAGATCAATGAAGTCTGAGACGATTGATTGTCATTTTGTAAATGAAGTATTCATTGAATGGTTCTCAGATTTTACAATGATATCCTGTAATTTTGTGTTCAAAATACATTTGATTGTCCCCACTGGTGTTCTCGTTCACTACACAATCAATAACAGAAAAGATGACTTATGATATTTGATGAACAGATATAGATCAGCTGATCAAACTGATTCGTTTAAAAGGTTATTTATTAAATCAGAAAATTTAATTTTAGCAAAACTTCATATTCATTGAAAATAACATATCTATGAAATAATGTAAAGATTTTTTCCATGGTGGTCTAGCTTTATTCGACTCATAATCTCAACCATTGAAAGTAAATAAGTTAGTTTATAGAATACTTGTTTTTTCGTTTGAAATATTATTCTAGAAATGTAAGTTTTCAACTATACAATAATACTTTTGATGTTTTATTACATTTGTGGTTGACCTTGAACAAGTCAATGACCATGTGAAACACATAGATCGCTTATAATACGATGATATTATTAATCAATTAATGATCAGCTGAATTCATTGTCATTTATTAAGTCATTATAAGGCAAAATGCTTTATTTAAGAAATTAAATTCAAGCCAGTTACAAATTAGAGAAGAATAAATTCATTAGATTTAAGTTAATAAACCAATTCATAAAACAAATTAGGTTGAATTCATGAAATTTGTTAAAATTTCTAAACTGTCAGTTTGGCGTAAATAATCAGAAACAAATGTTATCTTAACCATAAGGATTTTGTGACCATTGTTAAACTTTATAATTTACATCACTAGTTGGTTTCTACTAGACAACTGAAAAGCACTGAACAGATCTTTTGTTCTTGTATGCGATCTTTCTGTAAGGAATATTCATCCCTCCCCCGACAGTTAAACTTTGGATGTTCAGATTTAAAGGTGGAGACTAATAAATGGTCAACAGATCCTCATCCAGTCGTTTTAATGTCTAGATTCAATCAATTCGTGATATTGTCCAACCATCTTTTAATCTCTTTTGATGCATCACATTCAGCATAGTTGAACTTTACTAGTCAAGATTTTTTATAAGAACCCTCCTCATTACAGTCATTATTAAATTATTAAAGGGTCGTTAATTAATGAGATTTGAAAGCTTCTGACAATTTCCCAATCAATTAGCTTACGTTCGTTGGTCAATCCTATAGATTTTCGACACATATTTCTTAGATAATCAATGTCCGTTGACAATCCGGTAAAAAAATTCTTGTCTTTTTGGTGGAGTTTCGCTTTCTGAGCAGGATCGTTTAATCGTGATGTTTTTATTGTTCCTCTAAACAAAATCATCAAAGCAAATTTCCGGTTGCTGCAATTTCTCCGAATTTATTCACAGATGACTGACAGCTATTCCTTCTGACCACAATCCGTTAGTCATATATGAACAGATTTGAATAGATCATTCCTACCTGAATTTGAGTTGACGCCTAACCTTTAGAACGCTGACTCGACATCTAATGGTATCGGTTGACAGTATTGCTCGATAACCTTCTATTACCCTTTGTGGACAAATATATTACATCCGACATGGTTGAACTCCCTTAATCACTGCCTCTTACTAGAAACTTCTGCAATTACCTATTGACATCAGCCATTAGTGAGCACTTGAATATTGTTAATAGTATGGAAATCTTGTGGAGATCGTTAAATTTTCAAGGTTAACACCATGGATAGCTGTTAGCTTGTTTATCATTGATAAACATGAAACACTGGTTGTCATATATGATTATTCTTACCTGTTTGACTTTGAAACTGTTTATCAAAATTGTGATCATGAATTTCATTGTACCAGTTTTGTGTCGCTCGAGCCCCTATAAAACAAAACGAGTTGATCTTTAAAATTACAGATTGATTAAATATGAATAAGTCAAGAGATATTACTCTTATTTATATGACATTTCGTGAATTAATTTATTAATGCAGTATCATATCGATTGACACCGAGATAATTTTATTGAATTAATTATTCAAAGAAACAAATTAAGATTATATTCTCCAACTAAGAAAATTATGTTTTTGAATGAGATGATGAACCGACTGATTTTAGACCACCGTTGGAAACCTGAATTGATATTAGACACTAACACCATTGAATGCCGGCTCAGTGGTCCAGTAGGTTAAGTGTTCTTGCGCGAAACCGAAGGTCCTGGATTCGAATCCCGCGAGCGAGATGCCCGCTGCTGAGGGGTCCCACAATAGGACGAAATGGCCATCCAGTACTTCCAGGTTTTCAACGTTGGTCTAACATCAATCGGTTCATAATCTCAATCAAAAACGTAATAATCTCCACAACCCCTATACTGGTAAGAAAATTATGTAACAATCTTATGGTTTATGTTAATATTTTATTTCATTTCAAAACATCCCTTTAAATGATATAAACGATCAACAAATAGAAACATCTCTATAATTCCTGGTCTGTATGTAAAGCTTTTGTTTCCAACAAGTATTTTCTATTGATTAATTTTGTTTATGAAAGAGTTTGACTTTGGTGTTAGACAAGTTAGTAAAACTCATGCAAGTAGTTAAAATTAAACCATGTAATATATAGATTGAATAAGGTTCAAAGATTGGAATTCATTTGTTATACATTAGAGTTGATAATGAATAGTTTTATATTAGCATTTTTCTTATCTCACAAGCGTTATTGAGGTACTGGGATTTCTGGTTAGGTTTTGGTACATTCCATTAAAGAACAACTGGAGATTCTTGTCATACAACGTAAAGTATGAGAACTCAAATAAACCGGACGTGACAACACTCTAGTCTCAATAATTTACACCCTAATAGATAAAAAATTTATATTTTATATATATATAAAATTCGTAAAGAAACAACTCAATTTTTTGTTGTTGTCAGTATGTATAAGAAAGTTAACAAACTGAAAACGATGATAACTAAAGATGTATTTGCCAATGTTATTACGGAAATGTGAATTATAGAAATGTCATCGAAATAATTCTTTAAAGAAAGAAATAACATGTGCAAACAAAAAAATTAGGTAACCCGATTTCTTCTTAATAGCGTAGATTTTACATCCTATATAAAATTCAATTATTAAATTACAATAATATCCACAAAACGCTTGTTTGATTATAATCATTATACGCTCACTAGTGAGGGTCTCCAAAAGGTATTTCCTGAAGTTTTAGTGAGAAGCCATGACTATTGGTGTTCAACCGGGTTTGTTGTGAGATAATAACTCACTGAAGACATTGGTGGACGGTCACGCAATCTCGTGGATTGGTTGAAATTAGACATAAACACTGTCAAATGCCGGCTCACTGGTTTAGAGGTAAGGCGTTTGCGCGCGAGACCGAAGGTCCTAGGTTCAAATGTCATGAAGTGGAGTCTTGGATGAGCATCGTTGAGGAGTCCCATAATAGGACAAAACGTCAAACCAGTGCTTTCAGGTTTCCATGGTGTTATAGCTTCAATTGACTCATGAATTCAACCATTAAATTACTATAACATCCACAAAACCCCTCTTTGTTATATATTTAATCCTAAAATAACATCATCATTAGATGAAAAAAATTTTCTACTTTAAAAAGATTCTAGTCATTCGACTGCAAATAATCATATCATACTTCAGTCAGTAATTCCTATAAAGTTTATTCAATCAAGGATTACTATACTTTCCAAATGTTTATCTATCAATATCGATACAGAAATATCATATATCAATTTCTAATCAAGATATTTACTGTTTCAGTCAACTTATTAATGTAACAGAAACCATCTGAAATAATGGAGAAAAAAAAATTGTCGATATTATATCCGAGCATGTGAAATCAGACAGTTATTACAGCAGAATGGTTGTATGATTTTTTGTAAGCCTGATTATCGTTTAGTTCACCCATATCGTCTGTGGAATAGATAACCTTCGACTCACCAATTGAAATATCAACCAATAACAAAAAATTCCTCAATGCTTATTGATCCCCAAGCTGCTTCTAACTTGGCGTTTAATCGAAATTCAATGATAGAGATCAGATCAATTCCCTATTGTTCTCCCATCAATCATAACTCACAACTTGTGCATTAATAAACCTGATATTTTTGACTCTAGAAAAGCACAAATTACTATATGTACTCTAATCGGTCAAAAGTAATATAAATCATGGTAGTAGAGTTACAGAGACTAAAAAGTATAGCCAAATAAGAAAATCAATCTTAAATCTCGTAGATATAAGATAATTAGAACAAAACAGTTTTAATCAACCTCCAACACATTTAAGAACCCGTAAATTATTGTGCAATAAAATAAAAGTTTAAAAGGAAGATAGAGAATCAGACAGGAAAACTAATTATTGATCTGCGGATACAATTTAAAAAAACATTATTAGAAAGCCCAAATATTAAACACTTTTATATTTTAAGATGAAATACAATTTTGTAAGATGCCTACCTCGACATTTGTCTTGATTACTAATTTTAGTTGCCGTTAGCATAAGTTAATGTTCATCAGATCATTACCATTAAAATAAACTCAATACTGAGTAATTGTCTAAATTTTCTAATCGTCAAGATTCACATATATTAAAGTTTAATTTAACACGATATAAACACCACTAACTCATTGTCTTTACTCCATTAACGAATACAATCGATTTAATCTAATATTAGCTAACACATTTCTGTGGTATTTCAACGCTATTCATTTAAAGTAATAGAAATGATGCGTCTTACAGATTATTAACTCAACTACTACGGCAATGGTAAAATATTAGTTTCTTTTTTATCAAGTGGTATAAATCACTTAAAATATAAATGTATGGGATTCTGAAAATTGTTGGATTTCAATAAAATCACAAATAGATTCAAGTTAAATAGACATTAAAAATCTAGACACTGGATGACCGTTTCATTCTAGTATGGAATAACTTATCAGGCTAATAATGATCTAAGGACTAGGTTGTTTGCGTGCTAGACCAAAGGTTCTGTCTTCTATTTCTGGTTACGAGGTCATGGATAGGCACTGCTTAGAAGTAAGACTAGATGGTGGTTGGAGGAAGTCGACAGGAAACCCTGGAACCGGGTTTCGTGCTACTTGACACTCGTCAGCAAGGTGTATCTGTATTCTTTATGAAACTGGTGCTCCCTGGCGGATTTTCAACAAAATAACATGAAGAACTCATTTTGTATTATAACCTATCTTTTAAAAGAAACCTAGCCAATATATCAAAATAACATATTGTATTTATTTAAATAATAATTCAATTAAGATTCAGTACATAAGTTAAACTGAATACTATAACTAACCGGTCATTTCCGCTTTCCCAGTAGATTGTGATGTTGCCAAATTTTCACCATATTCATCACATATACTATGTTTCATAATTTTCATACGTGCAAGATTTTCAGCCCAAGCTTGTGCTTCTCTAGCAAGTCGTGAATCATATTTCAATGGAGGACATCCATGCAATGCACGTAATCTGAATGCATAAAAGATAAACAATATAGCCTTTATTATTATCATGTAAACAAATTACATATACTTTCATTGTAAATAAAAGAGGTCATAAAATTACTTTCTACAATGTAAGTTATTTGAAATTTATATAGATTATATATTTACTGATAGACAGAACTGTATTTGAATAGATTAACTTTTACTGAAGAAAAAAATTGAGATCTTGCTATAGTTAGTCAGAAAAGATTCATATTGCAGAGGCTGAGATTGGTGTTCTGGGCTTAACTGGCTGGGTTGGACAGAAAGCAGGACCAATCAAAACTTTAGGCTGCTCATACGGGTTCACGCGTCATTGATCCGATCGATAACTCACTGCTTCCTAATTGGCGGTCATAAGTTATAACACATACAATATATATATATATATATATATTCGGTCAGTTTTGTCACTTACAATACTGATGATAACTTTCAAGTACATATAATTAAATATCATTTAAAAAGCTTATGATGAAATGGTATTCTTTTATTTGTTATTCCGGTGTAAAGATTTATCGACATCATGAATCGAGTAAAGTTGGACAATCACTGGAAATCAGGAAGAACTGAATAAAGAGCTACTTCGTCTGAGTATGGCGCTCCTCAACGGTAGGTATTCATGACTTAACAACATGGAGTTTGGCCCAGGACCTTTGATCTTGTTTGCTAACGCTTGATCTCTAGACCAATAAGTCGGTACCTACTTGTGCGCGAGTCTAAGTTTAATCAATTCGTGATACTAAGGGTGGGGTAGGGTGGAATCTTCCACTGTCTTCTTTGGGTACCTACCTTATACCTAACATAATTGGTCCCAATAAAATTAGTCAATCTTCACAATCCTATGATTATAGTGATAATCAATATCTAGCAATAGAGTAAGATTTTCATTAATGCTGTTATCTTAATTATCTAAAGATATCTACATATTTCTTCCATGAACATATTGAACATTACCAACCTACCAGATGAAAACACCGAATAAAGAGAAAATTAGAGCTTAAGATGAAAACCACAATGAAACGTATACTTTTATATGAGGCTCTCATTCATCAAGTAAATGAAAAAAACAACCCGGGAACGCTCGATATCCAGACACAAACTGAACATTGAGAAGGTATACACTACAAATTCATGGACACTTAACCTATCTGTTAACTCATCAATTTGTTATTCAAACAACGATATTTTTATTAATCACCACTCGAAATCAATAAAATACTTTAACTTTGAAGGTTTTGTTGATTTCATTTAACAGAATCTTACAAGAAATTGTATTCATTTAATATGATACATACATTTTCATATGTAAAAACACTTTGTTAATTATTTTATATGAATTATGCACAGAATCATATAAAAGTGAATTCTATCATGTTACATTCCAAAGAGAAAATCAATGAAAGGTTCTCAATGAAAAAAAAGAACAAGAGAGAGATAGAGTAGACAATCTAAAACTATGGAACATTTAACTCATTTTTGTAATTATATGATCATATTACATTGTGTGTAATAAAATACAATTATATAAAAAAACTGAATACTACTTATATGAAATAATCAATTTACTATTGTTACTATGAGTAATACAATTAAACTATAATTAACTTAAAAATTTACAACAGGTAATTAGATTTGGAAGCTTGTCAACTTTTTCCTTGTTTTCCTGATATCAGTTTATTTTAAATAAACTGTAACCTGATATGTAATGGGATTAATGTACAGGAAATTATGGCAATTCACACAAAAGACACGAATTATTTTAAATAGAAATACAAGGAAATGATTCTATTTATATTATTTTGTTAATCTTTGAATAGTAGTTAAACAGATATAAATAAATTAATTTATTTGTAATATCCCAATAAGTAGAAAAATGAGGTTTTCTGATGTTTCGTGACTTAGTGTAAGCCACTTCTTTAGAGAATAAATAATCAGATCAAATTTACTTCAAGTTTAAATAGTACAAAAGAATAACACAAGAATATATGATATGCGATCAATAAAAAAACAAACAACAGAGGTGAACAAATCAATGTTATGTCATTTTGATCAAGGTGATTCATAAGTGTCATGTATGTAAATTAGTTAAATAGGATTATTCGTTAAAACAGTATAGGAAAAGTAAATAATTTCATTAAAAAATGTCATAAAATCATAAATTGAAAAGAAACATAAAAGAATATTTTACTTAAGATCTAAAGAATAGTTGTGTTATAGATGATTGATACAGTATTTTATAGTATGAATGTGTTTCTGATCATCTAAATAAAGATTACTAAGCAGCGATTTCTTGTTACTCATAGAATCCTCAGCTTTTCAAATTGATACTTACATGAGATCAAAATCCGTCTCGTGTTTAATTTAACATCTTCAAAACTTCACAGTTGTAATCCGATGTTTGATTGATTAGATTTCATTTAATTAGTGACATAGAATTACAATCTATCTGTTGGGGACGATAGATCACCCAAAACTCACATTTTATAATTTTGTCTTATCGATTAACTTATCAATTAAATGTTTAAATATTTGAATGGTAGTCAATTAACGATCTTATTGATGAATGTTTAAAAATTTATATGACAATACCGAATATATATATTTGTATAAATACGCTTGATGTGTGTGCCTGATTGACCTGGTATCTGCTGGTTGCCTGTAGAATACACTTCTACGTCTTACCAAGACTTCTTGATCGAGTTAGCTGAGTCGGAGACAACGGACCAGAATAGCCTACCGAGATTCTGAATCCCTTGATCCGATCGATAAGTCACTGCCCTCTAATCGGCGGCCTTTGAGATATAACACTATTAATTCTATCAGTGATAATTATCTGACTATCAGTATGACTAACTCTTCATATAAATACATGTCCATGAATCCTCAAAATCTATCTCAGAGGTGATCATCAGTGCGGAATTTTGGACATGCATTACTGAACAATCCTGTACTGGGACGATACGGCTATCAATCGCTCTCAGGTTTTCACTGGTGGTCTTACTTAAAATGACTCGTGAATTCAACTATTAGGTTACTGTTAAAATACAATCTCCACAAATTCCAAATTTGAAAATTAATTTCTATTGATTTGATGATAGCTCCTATATGTTTGCTTCATGTGAATCAAATAGCTGCTATAACTACAAGAGTGCAAAGAGCCATGGATTCAATTTTGTATTCATTGAAAAGCTACAACTATATTATGTTTGTCATGAAGACTTCTATTATTTTAATCAATGAGATAAATTTTAATTCAAAAACTCAACAAATTATACAAAAAATTGCCTTTGTTTAACAGCTATTAAGTATTTGGTCTTTCGTTTTAAAGTACCCATAAGTAGTTTAATGAATTTACATTGCGGCTAACAATGGACTAAAGGATTTGCATTTCATCCTAGTCAGAACTCATCAACTTGCTGTATCATTGTATCAGTGTTTATATTTTTATTGAGACTAAAACCTAGTACTTATCTTAATATATACATTAAAGCTAGAATCCTGGTAAATCAAAATGACAATCATCAAAAAGCATAGATCTAACTATTAACCGAACTGCAGATATACTAAAAGTGTCCAATTAATAGAATATATTCAAGCAATTTGTTCAATATTTACAATTTAACGGTAAAGAACAACAAAAATACATTTCACGGGTTGAAATCATGAGTCCATTGAAGCTAGACCCCCATGGAAAACCTGGAAGCACTGGACAGCCGTTTCGTCCTAGTATGGGACTCCTCAGCAGTGAGTATCCACGAAACATTTCTCAAAATCAATCATAGGATAATACAACTTAAAAACATATATATATATATATATATATATTCTGTGAAACGAATTGTTATTTGATTCAGTATTTATTAGTAAAGCCTCTTGGTCAAAACATGTATTAAACATTATCCATTTATACAAACCTAAATATAAATACACACTTTCAGTCAACTATCCATGACATGAAATTACACAAACTAAATAAACTCAAAACAGTTTACATAGTGCACCAAGTATAACTAGACAACTGAAAACAAAACAAAAATAAACTAGGAAGTACACTATGAATGTTTGTTTTAGGTGTAAAACTTTTGATCTATACTATCTAACCCATCCTCAATCCCTTTTTAGACAAATAAACTAAGTTAATTAACTATACTTTATAGTAAGTGAATACAATAATATAAATAGTTAAATTTCAAAATAAAAAAAGAAAACATCTTACCGATTATGTTCATTTAATGCATCATGATTTAATTGTTCGTCCACCATTCTATCTTTTACAAATAGGTTAAAATGATAACCAGTTTATTTAATAAACAATAGAATTACTCGATTTTATATTTATATATATACACACATATGTACATACATATGTCAATTATATTATAAAAAAAAAACAACAACAACAACAATACAATTATATATTGAATGGATAGTTGAACATTTTGAGAATACAAATATGTCGTACTTATTTGACTGTATATCTTTCAATCAATTGTGTATATTACATAGTAAACATATTTTGTATTATAAAAATCATAATACAATATTATAATGCTTCCAGGTTTTCAATGGTGGTCTAACAACAATCGGTTCATGATCTCAATCAAAAAAAATGTTGTTAAGACTCTTCTTTTCAAACAAAAGTAGCGGTGCAAAGAAATATATATATTTTATCTGATGTAGTTCTCTTTTTTTTGTATTTTATCTTCTTGGACAGTTGTCATTAATGATACATTATTAAGTGACATGATATATAATTGGCAATTTATAATCTAATTAAATTATTCATTCTAATACTTTTCATGACTTTTATAGGTTGATTGAATTCAATTCTAACTAATCATTTTAAAGTATCATTCAGATTGACTAGAAATTTCTATTATGTAAATTAGAACAGCAAACATAAGAGAACAATACTGTTTCTCAAATAGAACTTCAGAGGAATTCGCTCCAATACACAGTAATATATATATATATATATATATATATATATATATATATAAGCGAAATATCAAACTACGTAAGGCACTATGTAAATCAATGATAACTTAGAAATAATTAAGATAGTATGTTGACAGACGTAATTGTAGATCAATAAATCGTAATCAGTTTGATAACACAAATCAATAATTGAATATATAGTTTGGACAATCGTCTTTTAACATATTTCCTAATTATTCAATATTGCATAATGATACAATTAACTTTATTACTACTGCTACTACTACTACTACCACTACTACTACTACTGTAGTGTGTGCTACTTATATCGACATTAGTAGTATGTAACGTTAGTCGTGGACAGAATGTCTGGTAGCAGAGAGACAATAGGATCGAACAGTAAAGAATGGGAACAGAATGCGGTTTGTATGAAAATGCAAGAACAGTGAAGTCTGAGTCATTTTGAGACAATCGATGGACATTTTGCAAATGAAGCATTTACTATATGAATGTTAGATTTTATTAACAAGTCCTGTAGTTTTATGTAAAATACATTCGATTGTCCCCACTCGTGTTCGTGTTCGCTACACTACTAATACTACTACTACTCTCAGTGATGTAAGTTGTCTTTAAACTAAGTGAAACTTCATGACGTAATGAATGGAAACTCAGGTGAGAAGGACCGAATGTATTTTAATACGAAATTACACAGTATCCTGGTAAAATATAAGAACGATACATTAAATGCTTCATTCATAAATCTTCATCACTTGTCTTTCACATTCTATGTAATTTTTCAAATTCAGAATTCCTTTCTAATTTTATTTCTCTTTTCTTCAATTCGACTTTCATAGCCTTCTACTGCCAGGTTTTCCACTTCCGATTGGTTATACATACTACTAATATCTGTTGACTTAAGTAGCATACACCATACCGGTACATTAATAATCTCGTTATTTGTTAGCTATGTAAGAGATATATGAATAGCTATGTCTCAATTGCTGTGTTAATACTCAAGTGTGTATGAAATTGTTTGCATAAACTATTTATGTGCTAGAGTATACATATTAATGAACAAATTTTCATTTCATTTATTGAAACGACACAGTTGATTCCCTTATAAAAACTGCAGATTATTAGTTTGAATGCAGTCATAGCTTGCTACATTAAGAAAATTTCGGATGTTAATACTACTTTATCCAATAAATACTCAAACGGAGGTCACTTCATAGTAACACCAACTTCATGAAAGCATGGTTGTTCTCTTTTTACTTAAAACATCAATTAATTCTGTGGGAAATTAGAATCTTCCATGCTTTACTAATGATGCATGCACAAATGATATTCTCAACTCCTCGTTATTATTAAAAATGCGGACAGTGAGTTGTCAGTTGCAACACACTAGGAAATCTAAACGTCTGCTGGTTTCATAAACGCAAAAAGTCACCTTTGACCATCCGACCAATATTTACTGCACTCTTAAAACGCATGACTCTGCTATAGAGATTTATTTTCTTCATTGAACTATCTCCGAAGACCTTTCTCAACAATTTTGTGTAAACATTTATCAAAATTTGAAAGAAAGTTCAGATAGAAATTGAGCATCAGGTATATCAAAGTTATTCGAATAAAAATTACACATAGAAATAATCTCAATGACTGGAATTTAAACAATTTGAATGTTTGCTCTAGTCATCTGGTCCGCTTTACTAACACTAAAGGAAATGGTATTGATAAGGAAACAACAAAATAGACCCCATCAAAGTAAATTCAATGGATGAAATGAAGTAAATTTGGGAAAAAATCCAGACGACTAGATGTGAGAGTGAAAAAATACAATCAACTATTCAAATATGTTCCTGAATCCTCAAGGGATCTCAGGATGTTGAAGAACAGATCAGCGACAATATTTCATTAAATAGAAATAATTAATAAACTAGCTTTAACAGATCTGTACTCAGCATAATTTGTTTGTATATAATAAAAGTAACAACGATTGAAACACTGCATATATGAGCGAATCTTAACAATACAAATACACCGTATGGAATATAGTTGATAATATCAATATCACTGTTGATTTATAAGTAGAAACTTAGTCGTTAACATTCACTCTCGTCTTTATTTGTCCACTTAATATTGAATCAAATCAAAATTAAAATAACCAAAAAATTTGCAATTTTTCGAACATTTCACATCACCTGACAAACATTCCCCAAAACATTATAAACACAAATGGATGGTGACTAGCAGTGGTATCCATCACGCGCGTTTCGTCCTGTTTGCAACTCGTCTGCTGGGTGAACCTACATCTCAGAGTTGATGTTCACTCTGAGACTCGAACCAAGTACCGTTCGTTTCAAACGCCATCATGTTATCCACATAGCTACTGAGTCCTGATAGTCACTTGCTTGTGTAATAGAGTGAAGCTGGAATTCACTTAGTGTTGTTTTACTTGTATCTTCCCATTAATGTTTAGGAAAGCAATTGATCAGTCTCTTATCGGCATACGTGCATCCTCCTAGCCACCGTCTATCTTTGCTTATGATGTTTATAACTGAAGCAATATCGAGGCAATCCGCACAGAATGCACATATGCTAGCAAGTGACTGATCAATTGCAGACCTAAACAACAATGTGAAGATACAAGCAAACAACACTGAATGAATTGCCGAAACATTTGTTTTCACTGTTTTTTTTCATACCTATGTACTGCATATCTTCTTTCATAGGTCTAACAGAAAACATCACTTTAATTTAGTATAGGATATACTCAAAATGTTTTAAGTTAATGAGCATTGTGTGAATTAAGCAGTGATAGACAAGCCTAAAAGTTCAATTCAGTGTTGAATTTTTCCATACAGAAATCTCTCAATTATTAGAAAAACCCAAAATGGTAAGTTTTGACCTTAATATAGACAAGATAACTTTTTATAAGCGTCAAAGTTTTAATTGATGGGTAAGCTAGTTAAAATGTAGGTTACGTTGAGTTTCTATAACTTTCAAGATGATGTAATTCATCGCTGGAATCGATTGATATATAAATGATAATGTGATCATGTTTCAACAAGACAGAATTATTCAAAGTGAAATTACCCTTCAAAGTTGTGATGAGTCAGTACATATGTAGACATTGACGTGAATTTATTGAATTAACAGGTGATTCACTGATTTCAGAAATACGTCCTGCTATTAAACTCATAAGCACTGATAATTCAACAAAACAGATCACCCCATGAAATTTGTCCTCCTTCTCACAAGATGCATTATGCATTCCAATATCACGTTACTAGCTGAATCAAGTAATAGATCATTTAATGACGGAGTGGTTGACAGATAATATTTGTGGGAAACGTTGAGGGACGTCTATTACCGATTACATTGTATTCAATTAAGTTCCTAAAATATATCATTTACCCCCTTCTATTTTCATAAACATTAAGAAATTAAAAGCAAGCCTGTTTTGCTTATTGCTGTCGATTTAAATACGACCCTTAATAATTCAAATAATTTGTTTTTTGTTTGTTTCTTCAAGGTAAACAACAAAAGGCTGCTATTGAATTATAGCTTTGTCACCTTATCATACCAACTAGAAACATCTTATTCAGCTTCTCTGTCTAACAATAAACACACATCCTTATTGTTCAAATTTACAGATCCCGACATGATATGATATTATGCTAAAATTTTACCAAATCAAAGAAAGGTTATTCAATGGCTATGTAGAAAAGTGATTATTAGATTCAAAAACACGTTTAAAATTGTCTCATGTTCTTTATATCTTGACTAACACCATAGTGATCAGGAATCTATGCTCTTTACTAAACAATGTAAACTAAGAATTATCTTAAACACATGTTTAATGGAGTTTGTTAAATATCATTAATTGTAAGTGAATAAGATCCGAATAGGGTGAGACATTTTGCATTGTAGAGATCAGTAATTTATCAATGAGTCAATAAATTTTTGACAGCAACTGTGAACAGATTCTTTCTATGTGCAGAAAAGGATTAAAACAGAAAAGGAGTTTATGATTATAGTATGGAACTCGCAAACCCGCTGGCAAAAATTTAACCTAACGCCTTTGGTCTCGTAGTTGCAAGCCAGTACAATGGTATAGAGGTCAAATGTTCACGTATTTTATCAAAAGCCGTAAGTTCGATTCCCGTTTGCAGAGTCATGGGTGTTCACTGCTAAGCAGTCCCAATAGTGAATTAGTTTAGGTCGCTTCATCATTTAAACTATCAAAATTATAAATTTAGTCAAAAATACCATGAACTATACACATGCTAAACTTTGAACCATTTAATTTTACAATTTGTTAGGTCCAGATAAGCATAATGAATGGTAACTTTTGGGATCCATTTATGGACCAATAATACGCGTATATTTTTATCGTATAGTTGTTAAATAACTAAACTGTTTATATTCATTTTTGACCCATGAACTATTATTATACGATTGACTATTCTTGAGTTATGCCCTGTCTACCAATTACTATCTCCCTTATTCACAGCCACATCTGGTTAATTCATGTACAAATGTTGTTTCATATTTTATGGTACGGTGTGGTCTGTTTGGCTTGTATATAAACCCAGTATGTTTGAAATAAATTATTCATATTTCAGAGGCTGAGATTGATGTTCTGTACTTAACTGGCTGGGTTAGGCAGGAAACAGGATCAACTAGGACTCTAGATTGTTCGTACGGGTTTTATGCGTCACTGACCCGATCGATAACTCACTGCTCTCTAATTAGCGGTATCTTTACGTTATATACATTAACAGGGCACACAAGCTACAAGTTATTACACAATTCAATCTGTTTTACCAATAATTCACCATAATCAAATGTAGTTATACTACTCGTATTGATAAATTATGAATATTAAACAACATAATAAGTTACTATAATATTGACCATCCTAATATAAATAATGAACTAATAAAAATAAATAAATAAACATTATCACTGTTATTCAGTTAAAACTCATTGCACTTACAATGTATGTTTCAATAATATTTTCTAACTAAAAGAAACTACAGTGGTACTAATTACAAAGGTAAGAACATTCAGTTCATTTATTTTATGTTTTAATGATTTAATGATGTTTATGTGTATTTATTGATGAAGTCATTAGATTATTATTGATTAATATGACGGAAATAATATTCGTTTAAGCAATTAAATATACATCAATTGTAAATTACAAGGGTGGTAAAAAAATCAACAATTTTCTTTTAATAGTTGAAGTCATGAGTCGATCTTAGCAAGACTATCATTTGAAACTTGGAAATATTGAATAACTATTCAACCCTAGTATGAAACTCTTAAGTTGTTTTTACCCACAATCCATAACACGGGACTCGAACCCTGGAATCGTTCGCGAACACTTAACCTCTAGATTAATGAGCTGGCATCCAAAGGTATTAATGTCTGACTTTAATAGATGCATATTCATGCGCGACACTTCATCTATTGTCTGAGGTGGATAATTGTCTTCACACAACACGAATTGGACTATAATGGTCAGAGCTTCTAACTAGAACACTAGCAGTTCCATCTTGAAGCTAGTCACTAGAGAGCACGTGATTATTATCGGTATCGGGAATGTGCAAATTATAGTATTTTCAAAGTTAAATTCACGAGTCGATCTAAGCTAGATCACCGCTGAAAACTTGGAAGCACTGTTTAATTTTCGTCAGCAGCTTACAACCGATAATATTTAAAAGTTATAGTTACAAAATAGTTTTACATTAGTTACATGAACGAGTTGAATTGAAAATTGATACGATCATGCATCAGTATAGCATAGTAGGAATGTAAATAAAAATTTTAAATAAATTATTGTAAATATACATCTTGCGTGAACGAACATACTACAACATTGATTATAACTAAAGGGATCGAAATAAATGGCCAAATAATTAACAAACCCTAATAATAGGCGAGAGTAAAATGAGTACACCCCAGAGAATTAAAATAAGATAACTAATCTAGAAAACAGTAAAAGTAGAAGGATCTGATGATGTAACTAATTGAAAGAAAAAGTCGGATAAAATTTCATAAGATAATGCAGAAATGTTTACGTCACCGAGACGAATAAATATAAATAAGTCAATGAAATTGTGTAAAACGAAATGAAATTTCTATTAAACAAAAACATCTTTAAAACAATTAATAAATTAGGTGTTCGAGAGGATAAAATTCTGAGTAAAACAACTCATACAAAATTTCCTCAGTATTGTTTATATGTTAGGTACGATATTGTTTCCTTGACTTCTATTGTACTTGTGTTTCGTTTCGTTCGACGATATATCAAGCGACAGAAGTGAGTGGAATAGATAGTTTGTATTTAATAAAATAACACACTCCAGTTGTTTACGAAATTTCAGATGTATATCCAACACCATATTCATGATAGTTTTGAAAAATTCACTCAACGAATACACTTTATTGTTTTATGCAACACAGTATAATCTCTTCACAATAGTTCAAGAAGAAATAATAGGGAACAGTAATACTTGACACTTATCGTAAACATTAAGAAATAAGTCTATCTCGAGTTGCATATTTTACTTAATGATGAATATCAGAGAGTCAAAAATAATCGATTATGTCCGTTTTATTATTTCATCATTTCGACATTAACACCATTTGATGCCGGCTCAGTGGTCGAGAGGTTAAACGTTCATGTGTGAGACCGAATGTCCTGGATTTGAGTTTTGCGTGTCGGATCGTGAAAACGCAATCCTAAGGAATCTCATACTAGAACGAAACAGTCGTCCAGTGCTTTCAGGTTGTCGATGGTAGTCTAGCTTAGATTGACTCATAAATTCAACTAATTAAATTACTACAATCTGCACAAATCCCCATTTTCGTAATTTTTTTTAGTATTAACAATCAAAAACTTTATAAATAAAACATGATTTTTTTATGCAATCGGTGTATGGTTAATAATCAAGAAAGTGTATTTTGTCTTATTTGAGACTCATCAGTAACATCTATTTCTATTCCAGTGTTAATAAATTGGGAGTTTGTAATTGATCATTATTAAAAAAAATCCATTTGTTTTCTTTTTGAAACATGCCAAAATAATACCCAACAGTAAGCAAAAGCAAAACCCATCTATCTTATGAGAAAATAAACTTTTAATAATATATAAAGGAATTCATTAAACAAACAGTTCTATCAAGTGTTTATTTCACAATATTATAAATCTTTATTTGTTATGTAATAAAGTCAATTGATAACCAATACTTTTTCATATATTAATTTTGTTTTAAATGAATAATCAAAGGATAATCATTAATTTGATCATGATCTATTTATTAATAACGTTTATTTAACAATTGATCGAATCCAGATACAAATTACAATATTGAACATTTACTTTCTGGTATTTTAATAAATTCATCTCCTGCAAAAAAAGATAATAATAATAATAATAACACTTTTAAGTAATAATTTAATATAAATACGCAATGATCTGTTTTTTAGTACGTAAACTTTTAAGATAATAGGTAATGTAATTGTGTTTTGTTACTAGAATAATAACTATTTGTTCCCTATCGATTCCCACTTATGATAATTGAATATTGTTGATTCTTTTATGTACAAAAATCAAAATGAATAGTTTATTATATTGCATACTTCTAACAATAACAATTACATAGTGTCATGGACGTTTAATTTTTGCTTCTTTAAACCTGTTGCTTGTCATAGAAGATCATAGGCCGTTTACTAGCATTCTCTATCTATCCTTTCCGTATGTATACAGTTGCCATTCATTCTTTTCATGTCTGATTCCACTTCTCAACGCAGTGTTTTTTTTTTGAGTTTTCATCTTTTTTCGTTTCCCTTCAGGATTCCAAATTATCACTTGCGTCATGATGCAGTTTGGTGATTTCTGTAATGTATGTCGTATCCATCTCCACCGTCTTTTCCTAATTTCTTTTTCAACTGGAAGCTGGTTTGTTCTCTCCCACAGTAAGCTGTTACCGATTGTACCCGGTCAGCAGACATTCAGTATATTGCGTAGACAACCGTTTATAAATATTTGTACTGTTTTGATGGTAGTTGTAGTAGTTCTCCACGTTTCAGCTCCGTACAGTAGGACTGTCTCGAGGTTAGTATTAGAGATTCTGACTTTGATGTTAGTCGACAGTTGCTTTGAGTTCCATATGCTCTTCAACTGTAGGAGTGCTGTTCATGCTTTGCAAACCCAAGCCTTTACATCCGCGTCAGATCCTTCACGTTAATCGATGATGCTAACCACGTAAGTGAACGTTTACATTTGTTCCAGAGTTTCTCTATCAAGTGTGATTGTGTTGGCGTTCTCCTTATTGTATTTTCGGATCTTGTCTTTTCCCTTGTGTATAGTGGGGCCTACTGATGCAGAAGCTTTCGCTACAGTGGTTGTCTTGGCCTGCATTTCTTCGTGTGCATGGGATCGAAGGGCTAAGACATCTGAGAAGTCCAAATTGTCTAGTTGCATTCAACCTGTTACGGACATTACTACTCAGAAATTAAGACCAATTAATTTCGCTCACCAAGTTATAAAGATTAACAAGCAATATTTAACTCATAACCACTACTCTAGAAATCCCAAACATTCATCAAAATGATTTTTTTTATCAACATTTACTCAAACTTTGAAACATACTTGAATACATAATGTAAAATGTTGATCATACGCTTATAATAACTGATGAAGAATGAAGTTATCTTACAATATCAATGTTTGTTCTTAGAAAAGAAGTATCTCTCTAATATCATTTAGCGACTAATCAATCTCCGTACGCTTTCCTCATCAACAGTAAAAATAAACAAAATGTCATTAACGCTTATGAAACTCTTCTAAAAATCATTAATCAAAGCAATTATTACACTGATTTTTATAATGACAATAACATCTTGGTGAACAACAAAGCTAACATGTTGGTTACTAAATTTTCAACTACAATTTAAGACAATTATGTCTGATATAATTATGGTCTAACATGTATAGACATTCATTTTATGGGGGTGGGGAACTGCTTCAATATCACTTAATTATTTCCGATTGTTATCTGTAAAAGTAAAAAACTTGCACAAGTTTATTGAACCAAGGAAGAAAACTACATATGCTAAGATTTATTTAATCATCATTTATACATGATGTTTCATTATACAATCTTTAAAACTACGTACGCTTTATCTTACAACTTTTATAAACCATAGTTATATAACTAATATAAAGGTGAGTTATTCGCTTACTCGAACAATTAAGTTCTAACAGCATTTTGTTTTTTAATAACAAACAATGTAGGGACAGAACATCGTGGGAATAAAGAAATTTGATGTATTGTAGGTCAGATTTTTAAAAGAAAATATCGACTAGGATCACTAATTTGAATTATTTTACGATACTGTTTAAGATGATTAAGACGGTTTAATTTCCAAAGTATCATCGATTCAGTTGTTTAGGGGTTAAGCGTTAGTGCGTGAGACAGAAGATCCTGGTTTCAAGCCCTACATGTGGGATCGTGGATGCATACTACTGAGGAGTCTTATACTAGTACGAAACGGCTGTCCAGTGCTTCCAGGCTGTCAGTGGTGGTCTAGCCTACATCGACTCATGAATATAAGTATTAAAGTTCTATATTAGTCAAAGTAGATTATGCGAACATTGTTTACTATCTCTGCATGATGTTATTAGAGTCAACTTCATAAAATTTGTCACTGGATCCCTTCGTACTGTCTTCCAAGGTAGGATGTTTCATCTGATTTATCCATTCTACCAACCAGTTAAGATAATCACTCATAAGCAAATTAAAACTATTATCAGTCAGTTGATAAGTAAACAGTAAAGAATTTATATAAGTCTAACAGAAAATATCAGTTTAATTTAGTATAGGTATACTCAAAAGGTTTTAAGTTAATCAGGAGTGTGTGAATTAAGCAGTGACAGATAAGCTGAAACGCGGAGAACTACTACAACCATCATCAAGAAGATACAAGTATTTATCTACGCAAGCAACTCAACATCATTGGCTGGATGCCATCAGTAACAGTCTAATGTAGGAGAGAACAAACCAACTTCCAGCTGAAGGGGAAATTAGGAATAGACGATGAAAATGGATGTGACATACATTACACATATCATCAAACTGCATCAAGAGGAAAGCCCTAACTTAAAATCCTGAAGGGAAACGGGAAAGAGGAAGGCTAAAGAACAATTTACTTCAGGAAATAGAAGCAGATATGAAAAGGATGAATAACAACTGGAAAAAGCTGGAAAGGATTTCCCAGGACAGTGTTGGATGGAGAATGCCGGTGAGCCGCCTATGCTCCTCCACAAGGAGTAACAGACGTAAGTAAGTAAAATAAGTTTAACATTTTAATTCAGTGCTGAATTTTTCCATACAGAAATCTCTCACTTATTGGAAAAAATCCAAATGGTATGTTTTTACCTTAATATAGACTAGATAACTTTTTACAACCGTCAAGATCTTAACTGATGGGTAAGCTAGTTAAAATGTAGGTTTCATTTTCCTTATATCTTGACTAACACCATAGTGATCAGGAATCTATGCTCTTTACTAAACAATGTAAACTAAGAATTATCTTATACACATGTTTAATGGAGTTTGTTAAATATCATTAATTGTAAGTGAATAAGATCCGAATAGGGTGAGACATTTTGCATTGTAGAGATCAGTAATTTATCAATGAGTCAATAAATTTTTGACAGCAACTGTGAACAGATTCTCTCTGTGTGCAGATAAGGATTAAAACAGAAAAGGAGTTTATGATTCACCACCACACCTCCAGCTTAAAGAACTCCCTGGTTTTAATGATGTTTCTTCACTATGATGTCAAACTAAACACATATTTTGTAACAACTCGTGTATTATACATTACTAAGTAATTTCACTAACAGATATAAATTATTGTCATTATTTCTGCTTACTTGGTGGAGGAGCTTTCTTTGGTTGTGGCACATTATCTGCATAAAAACCAATTACATTTCCGGCTGGCTTGTAACGTCCCACTACGTACACTTTCTTTCCATCTTTGGACAATGCAGAACCGAATCCTGCTTTATTAGTTGACTTCCAAATTACTTGAGTAAAATGTCCTAACCTCAGATCAAAACAAAATAAAAATAACTTAACATTTAAAACACTTTGTAAGCCTCTTTTTTCCGATGACAGTTGAAGTTATACTGTGGTGAACGAGAACACAAGTGGGGGTAACTGTGTGTATTCGGATGCACAATTACAGTTATAGGGCAAAATGTGAATAGCATACGATTTTGAGGTGGTGGAGAAGATATGTAGCTCAGGTGGATGGTTTTGATGGAGCCTTGTTCTCTGAGCTTGATGGTTTGGTCGTGGAGCTTTCATCGTTTTCCTGAACGACATCATCAGCACAAACTTCAGATAGAAGTGAAGCGTTTGAATTTCTCGATATGTGGTTCACAGCTTGTCTTGTAGACCTCGATGTTGATTGGTTCTTGCTGACCCTAAACTTGTCATTGTAAACAGTGATGAAGTCGTTCAGAAGAACGATGAAAGCTCCACGACCAAATCATCCAGCTGAGAGAACAAAACTCCATCAAAAAGTGAATACTATGAGTTCAATACTTCATTTGCGAAATGTCCATCACTTATCTCAGACGTTTTCGTCTCTTGATTTTCATGTTAATCACTCTCCATTCCCGTTCTCTTCTATTCAATCTTCTCAACCTTCTGCTTCCAGGCATTCCATTTTCGATTGATGTTACATACTACGTATATTCGTTGACATGAGTAGCGCACACCACAATACAATCAGTATTTATTCCTTAAATTATTCCTGACTCTTTTATCTATCAAGCTACATATAATCAATGGAACGTAATGATGGATAATAGTGAAGGTTATTGAATTAATCATTTACTGTTATTGGTATAACATATTTATAGAGATTATGATTTGTACTACAGAGTAATTTTAGTCAATGAATTGATGAAAACGACAGTTATCTAATCCCAGCAGAAGATCAATCAACACTAGTGGTTTTTGAGAAAACATGTCAATTTTCGTCCAACTGATTAACAAAATGCTGAAATGCTAATAGATTTATTAATCAAACATAGAATGTCAGGTATACACTTTTGAATAGCTCCAAGCATAAACGTCACTTTGTTCCTAAAAAAATTTTCAATCCGAATAAGTCTGTCGAAAGGATTAACTTGTAAGCAGTAATACTATTCACTTATTATGAGTTCTTATAATCTCGCTAGTTAAGCATTGCATATATGTGACTGAAACGATTCCATCTAGAAATCAATCAATATATAGACATTTTACTGATTAAAATCTACATGAATAATATAATAGAGAGAGTTTGTACTAAACAGGAAACCAGTTGTTGAAGTATATTATGTCATCATGAATTAAATATACATTCTATTTCCATTCACGACTATTCAGCATTGTTGGTAACTGATCTTAGTCAGTAAGCTAGCCAAAAAATAGTACGTTTCATCCAAAAGTGAATACGAAAATGCTTCGGAAATCTGTGCAAACCTACAACAATCTTTACTGTTGAAACTAGATTGTTTAAATTATTTAAATGTGATTAAATCATTGTTTGAGATCCGGTTGTCAAATGAATCATTGACATTAATGAGTAAAACTAAACTGAAGCTGAATTGTAAATCATCAGAACTAATTGTTGACAAATTCATTTTGGTGTACTTTATTATGTAAATAAAAAAATTTCAAATATTTTAAGTCTGTAGTGTTTATTTAACTAACCACTTATCATTAATCGTTGCTATCCTTTCATTTCCTTTCTATTGTTTACATATTATTGTAGTCTTGTTTTTATCTAGTTATTCCAAAGTACGTTATTTCTTGAACAACTTGAAAAAAAAACTTTGTTCCTAGATAATACAAATCATTAGATAACTATTTTTAGTAATAGTAATTTAATACCAAACCATGGTGAAGTTTGAATGGGATGTTACTAAATAAAGCATTAAAATATCTTTACACTTGTTGGTAGAACATGCTGACGAAGGCAGTCGTGGAGAAAATACAGTTGTTCTCAAATGGACGTTTGACTTTAGGCGAAATTATCCCATTTTTTGAACAACGAGAAGCGTACTACGCTCATATGATTTTGAGATGATGTAGATGATTTGTAGCTCAGGTGGATGATTTTGATGGAATTCCATTCTCTGATCTGGATATTTTAGTCCAGGGGCTTTCATCGTTCTTCTGAACGACGTCATCAGCACAAACTTTATGTAGAAGTATATCTTTGTTTCAATTGTATTCCACCAAGAAACTGGAGATACTTCGTAGTAAATAGACGTTTATATCCATCGACATCTTAATTTGTCATCGCTAAGCCCAAATAAGTAATCGTGAGTATCCAGTGAAAGTGTATACATTTTCAGTTAAACATGTAAGTATTTATATGTTGAAAACTGTGTGGCACATTGAAAATCCATTTTAATCAATTGTAAACAATATTTTCGTTCGGGTGAACCATAGTATTTTCATTTTCATTCAAGCATTCTTGGTCGCTGTTCCTTTGGTAAGTTTGACATGTCGAAGCATCACTCTCAAACCCTAATTTTCATGATATGTTTTTTGTCCGGGATATTAGAGTGAACCACAATAAATAGTTCATAACAACCAGATGAGAATAGCTCTGTATGTCTTTTGTGTTACATTTTATGCTACTTATCATTATTAAGTAGTAAAATTTGACCTATCAACATGAACAGAGCTGTTAACTTATAACGAACATCAAACTATTATTTTCTTTTCAGTTTAATCCTATTACCTCAAAATCTTCTGTATTACCTCTGAAAACTCTCTGACATTTTGTCCATCTCTTTTATAACTATAACTAATCAGAACTCCATATATACTTTGACAGTATAGTTTGACAATTAATGAATTCTTGGATGAAATAAAGTATCTTTCTTGAAAAATCATGTAGTTGAAACTGGTTACAAATGAAAAGTTTCAATCGTTATGGTGAAGAAACTGTGACTTCTATTCACGAAATCAAGATCAACAAGATAACTTGGGTTTGTACATAAGTGAACCTTATAATATTTAGATTTTATTATTAACACGTCAGTGAATATTTGATAAAATTGTAGATACAGACCATGTTGTTGGAGACTTCATGATTAACGAAACAAATAGTTTGAGATAATGGAAGAGACGGCTATGAACCGGTCACAGTAGCATGGAACTTTTTATTCTTTGTCTACTGTTAAATCTTAGCTTTTAAAATTGTATTGTTTTTTATTCCATGAATGTATTCTTGATTCTTGAATAATGCTGTCTGTCTCTAACATTTCCTACTAACCACCATGCATCTATGTCTAAAAATGCTTGTGAATTAAAGTCAATAGCAAAGCAATCCACATAGGATATACATATGGTAGAACATTGATCACTTCTGGTACTAAAAATCAGTGGGAAGATTCAAATAACAAATATAAATCAGATAAAATTCACTTGATTACAGTTACATAAACACAGTAACCAAGTGAACAAGGTGATGACAAAGCTAACGGTACTGGGATTGAATCAAAGTATATTCAGCTAATGGGTCTCAAGTGGGACAAAACGTGCATTTCACTGCTAGCTACCATCTATCTTTTTTCTTAAAATACTACTAACATAATTTTTACTACTATTCTGACATTTATATTGATAACTTTATCTCACTATTATGAGATTATGTGGCAGACAAATGGGAGCGATGCATCACTAACTTACTGGACACTATTGGATATTTGAAGAATTTCAAAATTACTGTTACTCTTCATCTGATAAAATAAACAGTCAAAATTTTACAAGTAATAAATAAAAGCAAAGATGGATAATGACTAACAGTGGAATCTAGGACACGCGTTTCGTCCTATTTGGGACACGTCAGCTAGACGTACCTTCATCTCAGATTTGATGTTCACCCTGGAACTCGAACTCAGTACTGAGTTCTCAAATAGGACGAAACGCGCGTCCTAGATTCTACTGTTAGCTATTATCCATATTTGGTTATTATGCTTGTGACTTTAGGCAATATCGAGACATTCCGTACAGGATGCACATATGCCAACAAGAGACTGATTCATTGCAGTCCTAAATAATAATCGAAAGATGCAAGTAAACAACATCGATTAAAGGTAGTAAATGAATTTAAGAAATAAAAACAAATTTAAAATGGACTATTCTTTTTTGGTTGTCTTATACCTGTCCCAGGTTGATTTTGTCCATTGAAATCATGTTGCTTAATTTCATCGTACCAATTTCGAGTTGCTTCACGACCTTTCAAAGGAGAATATTTAAAAAATATGTTTTTATGTACATAATAGTACAATAATGTCATCTATTTATAAGAGAACTACTCTTCATGATAATAGTTATTTTGTAAACGAGTAATTAAATTAATAAATCTGTAACAGTGTACCAGTATATATTAGTTGATTTGAGATATTTAATGTCCTATAACGGAGTACATGAAGCTTGTTAGATCCTGTCTAAGGTTAGTTATATGAAACTGATCGATATTTACGTACCAAATCACATAAATTGCAAGAACATTGGAATGTGTACACATTTATATATCCAAGCATGTTTTGAGGAATTTGAGATTAAAAGATATGAAAGCTTTAAATATTCCAATAACTTGGCATTTAATCAATACTGGACGTCTTCCAATCTCTCAGAATCATCATCATACAAAAAGAATGCATCTTCTTGATGAGTTACCGAAACAATTATGATTAAAAGACACCAAACCAGATTTATACTTTCAAAAAGAGACAGTCATCAGTTTATCACTGACTTGACGAATTCATAATTCTAAACACAACCATACTAATTATTATTACTAATATTATTATTTCTTTATTATTGGGTACAACTGTTCTGTATTCTTCGCTGAGCCAATTCTTACTACACATCCACACCAGTTATCTTTTCATTCATTCGTGATTTTAATTCGTTTAACTCTGTGGACTTATGAGAACTCGTGGATTGTAACATAGTTGTTGGGACGGCTTCCGAGAACTATTATGGAGCCTCCAGAGGCTCTAGAAGAGCCGAAGAATTCCATCCAATCAGAAAGCAATGAGGCTTTCTAGAATATCAACGTGGCAGTCTACTATTGTTCAGTAGCATAACATGTGTCTTTGAAGATTGGTTGAATTATAATGTTGATTTAGCAAACGCTAATATCTATAAATACCCATGATTTTCTGTACATTTTGATACTTTCCCAATAAGCACTTTGTCCAGTCGTCTTCTGTCTTCTCATTTACGACTTGAGAGGGTTCTAGTGCTCAAGTGCTCAAGTCATACGCTGTGTATTAAAAATCTAAGCTTCTAGATATAACAATAATCCACTCTATCCAATATCAATTCCAGGATAACTACTGACTCATCTTCCACTCCCTCTGTGTGTGTTTCGATTTCCATCTTCAAATACCGATACATATGGATAGTGGTAGCCATAGTCGTCTCATTTTTCTAAAAATTTGCAATCTCTATTGTGTCATATCATACTATTACTTACTTTACTTACTTACGCCTGTTACTCCCAATGGAGCATAGGCCGCTGACCAGCATTCTCCGACCCACTCTGTCCTGGGCCTTCTTTTCTAGTTCCATCCAATTCTTGTTCATTTTTCTCATATCTATCTCCATTTCTCGGCGTAATGTATTCTTTGGTCTTCCACTCCTCTTTCAACCTTGAGGGTTCCATATGAGGGCTTGTCTTGTGACGCAGTTCGGTGCTTTCCTCAATGTGTGTCCTATCCACTTCCAGCGCTTCTTCCTGATTTCTTCCTCCACTGGGATCTGATTTGTTCTCTCCCACAGTAGGTTGTTGCTAATAGTGTCCGGCCAGCGGATCCGAAGTATTTTGCGTAGATAACTGTTAATAAACACCTGTATCTTTTGGACGATGGATTTCGTAGTTTTCCAGGTTTCCGCCCCATACAGTAGAACTGTCTTCTCATTTGTATTGAAAATTCTGACTTTGGTGTTGGTTTCCAATTATTTTGAGTTCCAGATATTCTTCAGTTGTAAATATGCTGCTCTTGCTTTGCCAATCCGTGCCTTCACATCTGCATCAGATCCACCGTGTTCATCGATGATACTGCCCAGATATGTAAAGGTTTTTACATCTTCCAAAGCTTCTCCGTCAATTGTGATTGGATTGGTACATGTTGTGTTGTATCGAAGAATCTTGCTTTTCCCTTTGTGTATATTGAGACCTATTGCTGCTGAGGCTGCTGACACACTGGTTGTCTTCTCCTGCATTTGTTGTTGCGTATGCGATAGAAGAGCCAAATAATCTGCGAAGTCTAGATCATCCAATTGCATCCTAGCTGTCCACTGTATCCCGTGCTTCCCTTCAGATGTTGACGTCTTCATGATCCAGTCGATCACCAGGAGAAAGAGAAAGGGTGAGAGTAAGCAACCTTGCCTGACACCGGTCTTTACTTCGAACGACTTTGTCAACTGTCCTCCATGCACGATTTTGCAGTTTAATCCATCATAGGAATTCTGTATGATATTGACTATCTTCTGAAGCACACCGTAGTGTCGAAGAAGCTTCCATAGGGTTGTTCTGTCCACGCTATCAAATGCTTTTTCGTAGTCGATGAAGTTGATATAGAGTGATGAATTCCATTCAATTGATTGTTCCACAATGATCCGTAGAGTTGCGATTTGGTCTGTGCACGATCTATCCTTACGGAATCCTGCCTGTTGGTCTCGAAGTTGTGCGTCTACACAGTCCTTCATCCTGTTTAACAATACCCTGTTGAAGACTTTTCCTGGTATTGAAAGAAGAGTGATTCCCCTGTAGTTGTCACAGTTGCTGAGATCGCCTTTCTTTGGTATTTTGACTAGAAGTCCTTCTTTCCAGTCTTTTGGTACCTGTTCCTCATCCCAGATCTTTCTGAAGAGAGTTTGGAGAATCCTTGCAGTTGCAGCTACGTCTGCTTTCAGTGCCTCTGCTGGAATGCTGTCTAGTCCTGCTGCTTTGCCACTCTTGATTTGTCTGATAGCCATGCTGATTTCTTCAATTGTCGGTGCGCCAACATCGATTGGGAGGTCCGTGAGTGCTGCTTCGATGTTGGGTGGGTTCATTGTGGCTGGTCGATTCAAGAGTTCTTTGAAGTGTTCTACCCACCTGTTTTGTTGTTCTTCAATGTTGGTGATTATCTTGCCTACCTTGTTTTTCACTGGTTGTTCTGGTTTACGTTGATTTCTAGAGAGTTTCTTTGTTGTTTCATACAGTTGTCTCATGTTTCCTTCTCTGGCAGCCTTTTCCGCCGTCATTGCCAAATCTTCCACATATTTACGTTTGTCAGTTCTGATGCTCCTCTTCACTTGCTTGTTTACTTCTGTGTATTCAGCCTGTGCCTTGGCTTTTTCTGCTCTTGTTCGACTGGTATTGATTGCTGCTTTCTTGTTCCTCCTTTCTTGAATCTTATCCAGTGTATCGACAGTGATCCAATCCTTGTGATGGTGCTTCTTGTGACCCAGAACCTCACGACATGTTGAAGTGATTGCCTCTTTTATCTCTTTCCAGTTGCTCTCCATAGTAGTTTCTTCTCCATTGAGTAGATCATGAAAGGCTTGGTACTTATTGCTGAGGGTTATCTTGAATTCATTGAGTTTGTCATTATCCCGAAGAAGAGCCATATTAAATTTTTGTGATATTGTCCTCCCCATTGTCCAGTGCCTCTTGAGTTTCAATTTCATCTTGGCGACCAGCAAGTGATGATCTGATGCTATATCAGCTCCTCTCTTTGTTTTCACGTCCTCCATCATCCTCCTAAACTTTTTGTTGATGCAGATATGATCGATTTGGTTCTGTGTGATGTGATCCGGTGAAGTCCATGTGGTTTTGTGTATGCGTTTATGTGGGAATATAGTGCCGCCTATGACCAGTTTATTGACGGCACATAGATTTGCAAATCTCTCACCATTTTCGTTCCTTTCTCCGAGTCCGTGTCGTCCCATGATCTCTTCATATCCGGTGTTGTCAGTTCTAACCTTGGCATTTAGGTCTCCCATCAGAATGGTCAGGTCTTTTGTTGGGCACTTCTCGACGATTGACTGCAGCCTATCGTAGAATTGATCTTTAGCGTCTTCGTTGTATTCGTTGGTAGGCGCATAGCATTGGATGACGTTCATTGTAATGCCCTCTTTCTTTGTTTTGAAGGAGGCTTTGATGATCCTTGGTCCATGAGATTCCCATCCTATAAGTGCATTTTGTGCTTGTTTGGACAGCATCAATGCAACTCCTTGTGTATGTGGAGCATTTTCTTGTTCATGTCCGGAGTATAACAGCAGCTCCCCTGAAGCTAGTCGTTGTTGTCCAACTTGCGTCCAATGTGTCTCACTGATCCCAAGCACCTCTAAATTGTATCTCCTCATTTCTGCAGCAATTTGGAAAACTCTCCCAGTCTCCCACATTGTGCGAGCATTCCATGTACCTAAATAAATGGTTGCTCTGGTTGTCAGAAGGGGCATCGGCCTCGTGACTTCCGGAGAAACTCGGCTTTCATCATGAGGCGTCATAATTCTTCTAAACGAAGACCTTCTGACTCCCAGGGCAGAGTTTAAATGGTTTGAATAATTTTTTCTGGTTAGCGTTTGTTTAGCGAATTAGTTTTCTACGGGATGGGGTCGCTAACCCCATGCCCAACCCTCCTCCTTTATCCGGGCTTGGGACCGGCAGTAGCCCCCGGAAAGGGACTCCAGGCGGAGTTATATCATGCTATGTTTCAATATAAATTTGGTTGTAAGCAGCTGAAGAGAAATCATGAAATAAAAATTAATTCATTTTAGCCTGTCCCAATTGTTGAATAGAAACAATAGCGGGGCGGATTTTCATGTATATAATATATAATTTTCTTTGAACCTATCAAACAACAATACCGCCATGCACTGTCTTATCGCTCTTGTCAGGTCATGCAACTTGAACATCACAAGAACATCAATAGGACATACGACAGGCTAGGTGACCCCGATTGTTGAATTAGCTTTATTTAAATATATTAATGGAACTAATTGTATGAATTTTTGGTGTCATAGTAACAATTTTTCTCAACAGATATAATTCTCCGGATTTTTTTTTCTCTGTTCTCAAATATATATGCCTGACAAATGTCTAACGTTACCACAAATCTATTCAGTTAGGTGTTGAGTCTAGGAGACCTTATGATATATTTGTGTTTGAACAGTTGTAGAAAACAATCGTTATGCCATTATTCAAAACAATCCCAAATACAAATATACAGTAGAAAATACATCATTCTAATTTTTAGGACTTTCAAATAAGATAATTCAAATATCTTAAAGATATCCAGATACACATACGTATTCAACTTACCATTCAGTGATGCACCGGCTGTAGACATGTGAAATGCTAAATTTTCACCATATCCATCTGCTTTACTATGCTGTAAACAATTTGTTGAAGCCAAGTGTTCAGCCCACTTTTGAGAATCACTAGCCAGTTTTGAATCATAACTTATTTTTGGACAACCATGCAAAGCTCTAAGTCTGAGATAAGAAAAATTTTAGGTGTAATATGGATTGTGACAAAATCTCTTTACCACTTAAATGAAGCACAAGGATTAATTTTAGAATTATTTCTAATTTTGTGAGGAATAAGCGGTATCGTTGAGATAGGTAATGTGTAGAGTGATATTATGAACTGAAAATCGTGGAATCCTAGTGAACGAACATGCAGGTGGGGATAACTAAATTTACTATTTAATGCCGAACTACAGAGTGATTTTGTAAAATATGAAAACCATATATCAAATATTTGATTCGCACATCTACCAGTTGTCCTTTTACATGCTTCATGATCTTTTCAATTTCGTCATTATTACAATCACTTTCTGTTTCCCCTTCTGTCCTCCTCAATTCAATCTTCTCAACCTTCTCTTGACAGGCATTCCACTTCTGATTTATGTTACATACCAGTTATATCTCTTAATATAATTAGCGTGCACCACAGCATGAACATTATTACGAGAGATCCAGTTGTAGAAACCAGCTTAAACCTCATAAACTGCTGAAGGTATTATTAATCAAAGAAATGTCAAGTAAAAGATAATTTAAGCGGTAATAATGATTCAGTAATTGAATACCAAGCAACTTTGATTTCAACAATCAAATCTTTACAAATTTCAAACTTCCTTAAAATACAATTATTGAAAGTCTATTTGGAAAAAGGATGTGTTAGATCGTCATTGTTGATTTATTCACTGAAATAACCAAGTAAACTAATTTAACTGTTTTCATCTGATGTCATTTTTGGGGACGATAGATCCCCCAAAACTCGTAGTTTGTAATTATATCTTGTGGAGCTTGTATGCACATGTATACGTGGGCATTTCTTTCCACCCACGCACATAGTTGATTGACGAATTTATAGATTAAATGTTTAAATATTTCAATGACAGTCAATTGAAGAACTATCGATCAAATATTTAAAAGCTCCATGGCAATATATATATATATATATATATATATATATATATATATATATATATATATATTTGTATATATACGTTTTAAAACTGTCTTGTAAAGTTCGCTGGTTTTCTGGCTGTTGCAGAATATACTTCCATTCTAAGCTTGGTCTTCTCTCTCTAGATAGCGGGGCTGGGACGCGTCAATAGTTAGCTTACTGGTCTTATTCATCGAATCTCGTTCTCGTTCGCAGAATACGTGAACTAGTAATAGCTCCAAACCTAACAGTCATAAGTTCATCTATAAGTGGATGCATAAAGAGAAAGTCCAGGGTTTTCTGTCGATTACCTCCAACCACCATCTAATCTCACAATAGTGCCTACAGTGTCGAGTCACCTAGACTGGTGGCCACATTGCAACATGGCCGCAAGCATTCGATCTGCACTAATAATAAGGACTAGACACGCATGACATTGGTCACCACCCAGTGATCAACCAATTGTAAAGTCATATATCGCCTATTATTTAGGCGTTTAAACTATGTTTTCTTGCACAGTTTTATTTATGATTAAGCAATAATCAAAGTTTAATCAAGATGATATCAAGACCTATTGTTTATTCAACGTTCACCATGAAAAGGAAATCTAAATAGGCAAAATATATTTTAATAAAGATATTCCAATAGCATTCGAATATTTACTTCGTTCGAACTATGAAGTTTAATAAGCAAGGTGAACATCCATAGTTCTTATACACGTAAACAATTATTTCAACATTCTTCTTCATCTGTGCCAAAACATCTTTTATTGAATAACTCTAATTTAATATTACTAAGCTCTCTATATTTTCATCCCACGGTAACATTCCTGACTGTGCTATTATTTGATGTGAATCTAAATCCCAAAGAGAACATCACTTCCATTGAATTGTGGATATACTTTAGTAATCAAGATCTTAGATCCAGGGCTCGATATCGTTTACTCCCATCCACTTGACATAAGGTCGAACTCTTAAACTGGTGATAACATTACAAGTAAACCAATCGAATTTTATCTGACTTGAAGAATATACAATTTTGACGTTATACATCACATAGTAATCAATCGTGCATTTAAGGTGAAGTCCAGTTGAAATTTTAAATATAAGTGTAACAATTAAGAACTGTCATGAATATAACTGCAAAAGTTACCATACATCTGCATTTACATATTTGTCTTTCACACAAGCTACTGAGAAAATTAAAAAGTAGCTACATAAATTTGACTAAAAAAACGTGTTTAATCATTTGAAAATATTTCTTCAACTTAGATGGATCAGGAGGGGTTATAGTAATGTTTGAGACTACTTTAGTGGTCTAGCTTCAACTAACTCGTGATCTCAACTATTGAAATTAGATGAATCAGTTCAATTACACTTATTCAGTGATGAACACAACAAATTTGCATTTTCTCCAAAAATCATATGAACTAATTAGCGCAGAAAACCTGCTATTAGTCTTCATGCTATTCCAGTCATTTCAAAACTACTAACCTTTGTGAAATCGTACTCTTTCTGAAAAAAATCGTTAAAAATTTCATTTCTCAATATTCACATCTACTAGACATCTGCTGTACTAAAGTGCTGCTCCTACAACTTACGTAGATTTACAGTATTTAACAGATGTATGATAAGAAAACTCATGCAGAAAGGGGTAATTGTTCATTGACTTCGTTGGTTTCATTCAGCTACCATTTGGGGACCTTTTGTAATGTTAATGGTATGAGAACGACAGAAAAAATAGACTAACAGTGAAATTACTGCATTTGTCTACTTTTCAACGGATTTCACTTGATTTATGGTTGATGAATAACTTCCTGACCGTATATGTAACTTATTGCGGCAGTCAGATACAACAATTATGTCTAATCTGTCGAACGACACTGGTTAAAACAGTTGTTCTTCCAGGTTCTTTCGTGTGATATAGGTCGGTTGGTAAGACCAAAAGCAGTAAACGGAATGTCTGTTTACCATCTTGCTGTCAAATGATTTTCAGCGTAATGACAGCAAGCCTTTTATCGACAGATAGTCAGCTTTTCCATCTCTGCTGCCTCTTCTCATGGGAAGAGTAAAGTCATAAAAGCTAAAGTCTAGACAAAACACACTTCATTTTGACCCATGGGCCTGTATTTTTGAAAGTAAGACATGAAAACTGCGGAATTAACAGATCTAAAATCTATTAAATACATGCAATATGTGACAGTCGCATACAGTTGTCTCTTAGATCCTGCGATCATCATGATAATCACTAAACCAGCTTAATTTTTAAGTACTTTGACAAAATCATTAACCTATGGGGAGTAAAACCGGGAAAAGATACCTATCTACTAATTACCTAGATTATTTTCTGACTAATCAAGTGTACTTACGCATTACAGTGTTTTCCTAATCTAAATAAATTATGTCAAAGTATTTGATTTGTTTTAACGATCTTCAGAAAGCATGTTTTAAAACAACAAAATATGTATTCTTTTCTCAAAATCTGTTACAACTTTGGCAGGAAAAATGTATAGAATAATAAACGTTCCGGAATATTCTGTGACGATTAGAAACAAGTGTCTTATAGGTCTTTATAAATGAAGTAGAAATGTACTTTAAATGGTACCAGTTAGACAGATAGTTATCGACTATTATTATTATTATTATTATTATTATTATTATTATTATCATTATTATTATTATCCATTTACCGAATAGTGTATATGCAAATGAATTATCAATAATTTCTAGTTTAGAAACGAGAACCTTAAATATTTTAATCTAACATTCAAAAATAAGTAACATCAGTTGGAGAAATTTCAAAATACCATTAATTCAATCTAATTTTAGACTTTTAAGCATTCTATGGGTAACTTGTGGGGTCCTTTATTTTGTCGTCATTTAGATAAAACGATGTTTGTTGACGGGCTCTTTACTTCAGTGACCCGGGATCTGACTCCAATTTGATCGTATGAATGATTGTTATTGAAATATATATGTCGCCTATCCTCGTATATAATCATAGACTTAAATTGCTTTAGTCAATAACGGAATTAAATAAATCAAATAACGAGAATGGGCTTTTGAATACATATATTTTGTATATGAAGCGAATGGAACAGAGTGAAGCAAAACGACGCGTAGTGGAAATGGCGGGTAAGCCAACTCCCATTAGTCAAGAGTTAATCAATATTTATTGACACATACAAATAAGTTACTCATATGTGATAAATAATGGGATGAGAAGTGTACACACACCTAAGCGCTCATATAAAAACAGTTAAGATTGCTAAGCGAATAATTAACAAGGTCAAAATTATGATTCAAGTAGAATGAATAGATTGAGCTGTCCGAAAGCTAGAATAAGGTATATGGGCTTAATAACCGACACTACAAACTCTACATAAAAATCGAACTTGGAAAATATGAGATTTTTAAACTACTGATATTTACAAAACAGTTATCCATTAGTTTAATGGCTTCTCAAATGATATGATTTCATAGTGGAATCAATCTTCATTTTGAATATATCATTATCAAACAATTCATAACCACGATAAACAATATGTAAGCTGACTTTTGTATTCAATAGTTTTTAATTTCATGATCATACTTGATTATATGTACAGCCACTGCCAAGGAAGTCCTACTCACTGCCTTCTTGAGGTGGGGCTGTTGTTTACAAAATTGAATGGACGAAAAGTGAATGTCCGGTGCTTTAACTGGGTTGAGGAGGATCCATCTAGGGAATTTGGAAAACCCCTATTTCTAAGCAATCGTACATATGGTCTCCACGATTCTGAAGGAAGCGATGGGGTATGAATCTATTGTTGGTCACCGACTACATCTCCTGATGTTGCTACACTGCCTTATGGTTCAGACATTTGGGTCTAAGGCTTTGGGTGTCTTTCCGTAAGAAAACTACGTGCTTCGGTCTGGGCACCTGAGCAGTATTACAGCCCAGACACAAATCAAGTGAATTGTGTGGTGCATATGTATTCGATGCCTCTTTGTACCAATATTTATGTGTTCAAATAAATAAATAAATAAATAGAATATGTAGT